CATGACAGATCTTGCCACAGCGCAGCCCTGTGGGCACGCGTAAGGCGCGATCCGGGAAGGACGTCATATGACGCCCGCCGGGATCGACGAGAGTGCCACCCGGCCGTCATTTTCCTATTGGCCGGACGGGAAGTGGTTAAGGGGCTGCATGCAATATATAAAAATACTAAAAAGCTCAATAGAGCAATTGCAGAAAAAGTGATAAAGTCCCAAGCAAGAAGCTGTAGTGTCTGTATGGTAGGTCTAGATGTATTGTATGTACTTCTATAATAGCTGTAGCTCTTCGAACAGGGTATTGGATATCTCTGTGCACTAAAACAATAAACAGAAGGCAGCACCATCTAAGTATCAATTTAATTAAAAACAAGTAAAGGAAAGGGTTAAAAACCACATTCACAAGGATGAGTGTAAATGGACAGATCGGACCTTCACTAGAAAGTCTCAGTGGACAGAGTGGACGGATGGGATGTTCTCTTTAAAACTGCTCTGCAGGACATGTGTAATAGAGCTGGACTCCGTCAGATTGCAGCTTAAGTCAGTATGACAAGCTGTGTCTTTCTCCAGCAGAAACTATAGCCATGCTGGAACGCAAGCCAGCCAATCCTAGGACCAGAACGGGAAGGGATGTCGGGGCATATTGATGTCAAAGCCTGATAGGTGGTAATGTGTTTCAAAGCTCAAAATTACTTCTTTAAGAAACCATGGCATGACAGCACCCCTTAATTAGGAAAAGGGCTTTAGTGATGACGTGGTGGGCTTTGTGACCCAAGTGTTGTGCCAAAAGGAAGGACTAAACCCAAGTTTTAAAGTCGAGTGGTTAGGTGCTCTGCCATTTGAGGAGGTAGTGGCAATAGATCAGGGGTGTTTAGAAACCTGCTATGGATGAAAAAAAACTCCTTTCCTGTGACATTGGTCAAATGCCTCCCCAAAAAGATATCTGCTTTGAAAGGACATACATGTGAGGGGTCCTTTACAGGCAGCTTCAGCTGTCCAGGATTTTAGCCAAAAGATACTATGCATGTGAAAATGAAAGCCAGTTTGGAGATTTGTGTTGTCACATGTTCACGGGCATTCACACAAAAAATAAATAAATAAAACAAATTGCCATGTTAAAGTATGGTCCCGCAATACAAGATCATGAATGTCAGAATCTTTGAATGAAAGAACATCTTCAGTTGGTACAGTGAGATGTTTAAGACTAAGACAAAGATCAACAGGAACAGACCACTTTTTAGTGAACCCCTTTTCTACTGGATATCGTTTGGCAAAGAATTTTGGAGGAGTGAAAATATTTTCTGGAGTAATCCAATTGTCATAAATTGAAAATTTTTTTGTTAACAGGGAATGTCTTTATAGATTTTGCAGGTCTTTCTGTACCCAGTGGCACGGGGAGTCAGAAGAGTACCAAGTTCTACAACACCAAGGCTTTTGTGCATTGCAGAAGTGAGCTTATCCACATTAACCAGCCTTAAGTGGGAAGTTCCCACTTCAGTTGTAAATCCATGTGGGGGAGAAAAAAACCTTCTGTCATTGCTTCTATATCCTCCTCATTTCCTTCTGTGTCTGCCTTGTCTAGGGCAGGCCTAAGAGGATTCGACTCAGGTAGAGACAGAGGAGCTGGAGAAGTGGCATGGCATTTTGCAGCCCTGAACAAAGATGGCTGTTTTAAAGCCGTTAGTTGTCAAAGCAATTGCGCCACAGTTGCAGAAAATTCTGCATTTTGTCAGGTAGACATAGACCCACTTGTTTTGTGCCGTAGATCAAGCCATTCCTAGATTGTAAGCTCCAAGGGACAGGGCCCTCTTTTTTTTTTTTTTTTTTTTTTTTTTTTTATAATTTAAGCATTTATTAAATTTTTCATGTTATAATACAAAAAAAAAACAAACCCAACAAGGGAAATAATTCTCATACAAATAGACTTTTATAACATTTCTACCTTTCCCTTGCTAAAAACTCTTTTCTTTCCCAGGGCCCTCCTATCCCTCTTGTATTGAACTGTATTGTTGCTGTATTGTCTCCCGTTATATTGTAAAGCGCTGAGCAAACTGTTGGTGCTACATAACGCCTGTATAATAATTACTGGATGCAAATACCAGTGTTAAAATCGGTTCCTGCTCTGGTGCAAGGGAAGCATTGTTACTGAGGTTGAGAGTTGGGCAGGCTTTCAACAGAGCAAATATTCGCCTGAGGTTTTGTTGTGGCTCATTTTAGACCTGGTTTTCGTCATAGCTACGAGAGAGGGTATGTCCTCTGTGGGGTACTCATGAAGTAATGTGGGGAATACAAGGAAGTGTATCCAGCAACCTCGGTGTAGACCATCCTGTAGCGTAATCGCATGGCAAAAGGAAATGCGGGGAGTACCTTATAAGTTCTCTAGGCAGAAGTGGTGGTAAAGCGTGCGACCAGTGGTGTGAGTTAACACCAGGTCATCTACCTGAGACTGAGCTTCAAATGGATGAATGTTAGAGCCAAGTTACCTTGTAAAGTGAATATATAACAAAAGATAGCCCTGGTTTTTACAGTAACACTCAGATACAGGGTGACCCAATCTTGCCTATCCATGGCTCTGGACTTTGTTTAAAGTCCAGACTTTGCCCATCACGGTAGACATACCCCCAAAATGGGTCTTCAGAATTTGAGTTCAATAGTGATGGGATGACAGCCCCGAACCTGTATAGCAGCCTGCTGAAGACTACAACATTATAGACGTACCAAAGTGGAAGCCCATGCTGGATCCAGTGCCTGAAGCAACGTTACAGGCTGTCACAACAGCATGAGGTCCGGGTACAGCTCCCAAAGTGTTACGGAGGTTGTGACAATCCAGAAGCACTGCTTTTATCTCTGGTATTAGAAGGCAGTAAAGTTGATGAAGGAAGAACCCGAAGAGGAAATAATAAACTAGTTAAAGCATATGTGAGCCTTCACCTTGTAAAACAAACCATTCAGTTTAAATTAGAAGTGAAAGGTAAAATGTTTGTGTATACAAATTAAAAAAAAAAAAGGATAAAAATACCTTTTTTCTCCCTTCTTTGTAAGTGATCACATACCCTCTGTTCTCAGCTACATAAGGAGCTCAGAGACCCAGGGGACGAAAAGCACAAGCACACTGGTCTTCCCAGCAAATGGCTGTGCAGAGGGGGCTTGTCAGCACAAGTCTGATCATTGGAGGAGAGCAGGTTCCGTTCTCCGCAAAGCTAGACAAATGACCTGTGCTCTCCTGCTTAGCGTGGTCAGTTTTAGGAAAGCAGAGAGCCTGGCAGGGTCACCAGGGATTTCACACAAAGAAATCAATACAAAGAACAGGATACTCATTCCTACAAGTACTTGGTACAGCAGGCACATATCAGGAATATGAAATGTTGGGTTTACATATTCTTTAAGTTCAGAGTGATTTCTCTACAAAGGAGAAGCAGCCCATCATCTTAAGACACTAGTAAAAATACTGATGACAGATGGATTGAAGGGGAAGACACCTAGGGGTCATCCTCAAAAGCTTTGTCAGTGTCCAATTATCTAAAAGGTATAAGCAAGTCCATAACCTAGGGTCTATGAATACTTTTCCTGTGCCCTGTTTAACCATTAGCCGCCCGGCCAATGGCCGTTTGGCGGCTTCAAATGTGCCTCTGCAGTCCGGGTGCACGCCATTTGGCGTGCTCCCGCACATGCGCAGTTTGCGCTAATGCAGAGCGGCGCAGCAGTGCGATCTGTCACCAGCTGTGCACCTCAGACACGGCCGATGACAGATCCGAGTACCGGTTCCCGTTGCTGGTATCATGTGACCTGCTGTGACCAATCACAGCAGGTCACATGACAGTTGTATACAATGGATGGCTTCATTCATGATGCCATCCATTGTATACTAGTGCCTAGCTGTGAATGGTCACAGCAGGTCACATGCACATGTCATGTGATTAGCTGTGACCAAATCACAGCTAAGCACAAAAAAAAAAAAAAAAAAAAAAAGCTGAATGAATCGATTTCATTCAGGTAAATGCTTGCTTATAGCAAAGTAATTCTTTGTTATAAGCAAAAAAAAAAAAAAAAAAAAAATACTGATCACTTCCCCAAAGTAGTACAATGTTACTATGGTAACATTGTACTACTTTGGTCATAGTAAAATATGAAGAAAAAAAATCTTAAAAAAAAAAAAAAAAAATGTAATAAAAAATTTAATATAATAATAATAATAATAAAAAAAAATAATAATAATAATAATAATAATAAATAACTAAATATATATATATATATATATATTTTTTTTTTTTTCCCCATACTGTCACCAGTCAGTGTCCCTGTTCACTGCCATGCCAGTTATATGATGATGCTGTACTGCACTGGTGACCGTATGTAAAAAAAAAAAAAAAAAGTGAAATTTTTTTTAATTTTTTCATTTTCCGAAAAATTATGACAAAAAAATACAACTTCAAAAAACTCGCCATGCCTCTTATGAAGTACGTAGGACTGTCTACTCTGCAAAAAGGGGTCATTTGGGGATATTTGTACTATTCTGACATTCTTGGACCTCAAGAAATTATAACTTTCCTACAAACTAAAAAATACATCCTAATTTGGGTTATTTTCACCAAAGACATGTAGCAGAATACATCTCGGCCTAAATTTATGAAGAACAATTATTTATTTGTAAACTTTTATAACAGAAACAAAGAAAAATGTGTTTTTTTTTCAAAATTTTTGGTCTTTTTTTGTTAATTTAACAAAAAATAAAAATCCCAGCGGTGATTAAATACCACCAAAAGAAAGCTCTAGTTGTGTGAAGAAAATGATAAAATTTTAGTTTGGGTACAATGTTGTATGACCGCGCAATTGTCATTCAAAGTGTGAGAGCGCTGAAACCTGAAAAATGGCCTGGGCAGGAAGGTGTAAAATTACACGGTATTGAAACGGATAATTAAGCTAAAACAGTTTTGATTTTATATTCACTTTAATCCACTTGGAGGCCATATATGTATTAATCCAGGCTTCAACTTTCAATACCTCACCTGCACAGACTTCTCCCGGTGTGCAAGTTTTTGTTGAATGATATGCTTTTCTTCTTCAAACCTTTGGCTTTCTACCTCCCGTTGAGTCTGCACTGTTTGCATGAGAACAGACAAGGCCTCCTCTTTACCGTCCAGGTCATTTCTATATGTTGAAGGGGAAAAAAAAAAAAAAGCAAAAAATTCATTATAAAAGCAATAAGAGCATTAGAATCTGGTTACTAGGGACAAACTTTCTATTTTGCATACCTCTGAGCAAAATGTAAGAAATACAGATTTAATTAATTTCAGGACAGGACGACACACATGTCAACTACAGACTAGAAATCGAGTTCCAGGTAGTAAAATGTTGAAGTGAAGAGGCCTACGCACAACTGGACACAGGACAAAAGAGTTTTGCTATTACAAGTGGAAGAGGCTCACTAATATACTGTATGTAAATATTCCAGACTTGTCAGAAAACATCTGTTTATTATACACTACTCATAGTTAAAAGGAAAATGCATAATGCCCAGCTTGAGAATGCATATACAAAAACTACTTTTTTGTAGTTTTGTAGTATTAATAATACTCCTCACACCTTAGTTTAGTTGCTTCGATCTGCATTTCTTTCCGTTGCCTTTTCAGATTTTCAAGCTCCAACTGCAGTTCCTCTATTTCAGTACGGAGTTGAGATCCAGTAGACTGTTCCTGGAGTAACAGCTTGTGCTGCTCTGTGGACCTCTCTTGTTCCCGCAATAAGGAACCTTTTAAATCTTCAGCAATGGCAGCCTCTTGCTGTAATTTGTAATCATACAGTTCCACTGCAAGATGGCCAAAAACAGTTCAGTAAATATTTCACAGCAGCTAATCCTTTAGGCTTTTTATACACTTATTTGACTTGTCCTGGTGCAGACCCTGACCAGACCAGTTATTCTAGCACCTAAAGGTCCAAGACAAGTTTTTATGTCACACAAGTATTAGTAGTGAGGATGGAAGAACAGGTTATCGATATAAAAATGTGCATAAAATATCACCACTACAGTCCTTTTCATTAGTTTTCATCTGTTCTCTCACTGACTGAATTCTACATTAATGCACCTGTTTTCCCAACTACTAGATTTCCAACACAATAGATCCTAACTTTTCATAACTAGGACAAAGTAATGCTCAAAGAAAATGCAAAGGATTGTCAATGAATATGTGAACTCCCTGAGAAGCCATTTGCCATTTAGCAGAGGGTATTGCTCTGCCCCTTGCCACCTTGTACCTACCTTGCTTGCGCAACTGGTGTTCTTTTGTGTGCCCTTTTTCTTCTGTACTGATGAGGGCATCTTGCAGTTGTTGTAGTTTCTCTTGGTTTTGAAGATGTGCCAATCTTAACTGTGAACGTAGATCCTGAATTTCAGACAACAGGCTGTTGCGGTCCATGGCTAGGACATGTTCCAAGACCAGGCGCTTTTGTTCCTCCTAAAAGACATATTATTCATGACTATTTACTAGCTATACTGTAACGTTCTGCAGCCTAGTTAATTTGTAATTATACAGTTTGTAATCACATAGTAAGGTGGGCCAAAAGAAAAAAAAATCCTTCCACTAAAAATATAAACTTGTATACAGTATTGTCTTCTTTAAAACATTGTATTAACATATTACTTTAATCACAAAATACAAAAAACTGAGTTTATGCCATGGCTATTACAGCAGACGTGCTTTAATTCAGCAACTTCGGATATACAGTTTTGCACAGGAACTTGACAACCGCTAACCAGAAAGAATACTGGACTCCAAAGATTTCAGCATAGCATGCACACAGAGTTTTACAGCCTCCTGTATGATACAATCATATCTAGGGAAAACTTTGCTACAAATCAATGTGTAACTTTGGATTCTGACTCACCTGCTCCTTAATTAGGTGTTCTACTTTCTCTGACAGTGAATTGTTATCCCCAGTTCCATGATGGAGCTGTGACTGAAGTTCCAAACGTAGATACTCTCTCTCACTTTCCAAAAGAGCCTGAACACTTTCTAATAAGTCCCGTCTCCAGTCTGATGAAGAACTTTCCTAAAAGACATTTTAGAAACTCAGCTATTCTCCAATTTTTAAAAATGAACAACTGAAAAACAAAGGTCTGCGGTATAGGCACTTCTAGCGTTTAGAGACGTATTCCTTAAATTATGCCAGTAAATCATTATTTGCGTTTAACTCTGTTACCATTAGGTTGCACAGATGGAGGAATTAACTGACCGGATTTTGATGCAGTTCTTTTTGCTCTATCCTATATCAAAGCATGTACACTGAAGAGACTTTTCCCTGTTTCAATTAAAGTATAGCTAAAAGCAAAACATTTATTTTTAGTTTTGGAATTACCTATGCAATACATAAAATGCAGCACAATCGCACAAATTAACAAAGTTATAATCAACAAAACAAACATCTACAATCTCCTCTTAAATGTCTATAAAAATCAACCACCAATGTGCTTTAACAGTAATCTCTTTAGTTCCTCCAAAGTCTAGGTCATACATGCATCCACCCCTTAATACATCCAATACGCTCACCTTTTTTATTTGACCTTAATATGAATCAAGGCACCTATTGCCATGAGCTTTTAGTCATCTATGGCTGTAGGGAATGAAAATTCTGTTTTCCTCTGACTCTCTACTGGCTTTACTCCACCTCAATATGAATCAAGGTCTCAGTGAACCTATTGCCCTACTATGGGCTTTTAGGCATCTGTGGTCAAGGAAAATTTAACTGTCCTCCTCTCTTTTAACCAGCTTTACTCCAATTTAGGTAGATTATGCATGTAAAATAAAATGGTATCAGAAATAGTGCCATCTGTATAGTACCATTTTATTAAAAAGCTCCTCAGTGGGTAGATTCATTAAAAAGCACCCCAAGTGCTATGTAAACAGCATTAAAAGACATGAGCAACAGCATCCACAGCAAATATCGCTCACAAGCTCTGCTCCGGTTTCTATACACAATGCACTCCCAGTCAGAGCATCATCAGTAGGCTTTATATAGGGTGGATGCTTGCAACACCAAGAGTTTGAAGGAACTGAAGAGATTATTATTATTACAGCACATTTTTGGTGGATTTTTATGGATGTCAGAGGAGATTGTAGATAGGACTTAATGTTTTGTTGATTATAATTATCTTATGTTAACCAATTCAATATCGGGCAATTTTACACCTTCCTGCCCAGGCCATTTTTCAGGTTTCAGTGCCCTCACACCTTTGAATGACAATTGCGCGGTCATACAACATTGTACCCAAACTAAAATTTTATCATTTTCTTCATACAAATAGAGCTTTCTTTTGATGGTATTTAATCACCGCCGGGGTTTTTATTTTTTGCTAAATTAACAAAAAAAGACCAAAAAAAAAAACCAAAAAAAAAAAAAAAAAAAAAAAAAAAACACGTTTTTCTTTGTTTCTGTTATAAAAGTTTACAAATAAATAATTGTTCTTCATAAAATTTAGGCCAAGATGTATTCTGCTACATGTCTTTGGTGAAAATAACCCAAATTAGGATGTATTATTTAGTTTGTAGGAAAGTTATAGAGTTCACAAACTATGGTATAGATCTGAATATTGATCAATCCTGAAGTACTGACGGACAATCTAATTTCTTGAGGTCCAAGAATGTCAGAACAGTACAGATATCCCCCAAATGACCCCTTTTTGTAAAGTAGACAGTCCGACGTACTTCATAAGAGGCATGGCGAGTTTTTTGAAGTTGTATTTTTTTTGTCATAATTTTTCGGAAAATTAAAAAAATTAAAAAAAATTTCACTATTTTTTTTTTTTTTTTTTACATACTGTCACCAGTGCAGTACAGCATCATCATATAACTGGCATGGTGGTGAACAGGGACACTGACTGGTGACAGTATAAAAAATGTTTTTATTCTTTTTTTTAAATATTTTTTTTTCATATTTTACTATGACCAAAGTAGTACAATGTTACCATAGTAACATTGTACTACTTTGGGGAAGTGATCAGTATTTTTTTTTTTTTTTTTTACACACAATTTGCTTATAGCAAAGAATTACTTTGCTATAAGCAAGCATTTACCTGAATGACATCGATTCATTCAGGTTTTTTTTTTTTTTGTGATTTGGCCACAGCTAATCACATGACATGTGCATGTGACCTGCTGTGACCATTCACAGCTAGACACTAGTATACAATGGATGGCATGAATGAAGCCATCCATTGTATACAACTGTCATGTGACTTGCTGTGATTGGTCACAGCATGTCACATGGTACCGGCAACAGGGGCCGGTACTCAGATCTGTCATTGGCAGTGTCCGAGGTACACGGCCGGTGACAGATCGCGCCGCTGCGCGGCTCTGCAACCGCGCATGTGCGGGAGGACGCCAAATGGTGTACACCCCAGAAAGATAATGCATTTTTGCGGCCGCCAAACGGCTATAGGCTGGGCGGCAAATGGTTAATTTAAGAGATTGTGCTGCATCTTACGTATTGCATAATTGTTGAGAGGTGTAGCGAAAAGCACTGGATAATGTTCTAGCAGCAATCTTTTTTGGGTATCGCCATAGGACTGCACTGATTGAGCACAGAATTAGAACGCCTGTCAGTTTTTATTGTGGTCTGACCCAGTTAAGGAGATTCACTCTATTTGGATTTTCTTTTATTTTCACTTTCAATGATGATGGTAAACAGGACAAATAATCTGGTTTGTCTCCAGAAAAGTAATACAGAGGGGAATATAGCCCTACCTTAGGATACGGAGCTGAGAGGCAAGTCAAACCTCCTCCTATCTTAATGTTGACTGAAAGAGTGAAGTTCAACTTTAACTATTTTTAATCCTTATGCTGCTAGCATTAGTAAATGGATAGGAAAGTATATCATATCTACTGGTTTTAAAATGTTTTTTTTTTTTTTTTCACATTTCTTAACCACTAGCCTACAGGGCACTTATACCCCCTTCCTGCCCAGGCCAATTTCCAGCTTTCAGCGCTGTCGCACTTTGAATGACAATTGCGCGGTCAAACAACACTGTACCCATATGAAATTTTTAGCATTTTGTTGTGACAGATAGAGCTTTATTTTGGTGGTATTTAACCACCTCTGGGTTTTTTATTTTTTCTTAACCACTTCCAGACCGGACACTTTTACCCCCTTCCTGACCAGGGCAATTTTCAGCTTTTAGCGCTATCACACTTTGAATGACAATTGCGCGGTCATGCAACACTGTACCCAAATGAATTTTTTACCATTTTTTTTAGATAGATAAAGCTTTATTTTGGTGGTATTTATTCACCACTGGGATTTGTATTTTTTTTGCTATGTAAATGAAATATCCAAAAAATTTTTAAAAAAGTGTTTTTTTAATAAAATTTTGCAAATAAATAATATTTCATCATAAATCTTAGCCAAAATTTATTCCGTTATCTTTTTAGTAAAAAAAAAAAAATCCAAATTAGTTTATAAGCAAAAATTATAATTTTTAAAAAAATTTACATTTTTATTTTATTTTTTTTATATTATTATTTTTTATATACTGTCACCCTAGCAGTACAGTGTCACCATGGTGACACTGTACTACTTGTGAGGGGTGATAAAGATTTTTTTTTTTTTCTTTTTTTACACTGATTGCTTTTACACCCATATAGGATGTAAAAGCAATCATTTCTCTTTCTCTCTGTGTGCATTCCTGCACTCATTGAGAAAGACAGAGTGAGCTGTGATTGGTCACAGCTTGTCACATGGTACAAGGCTTTTGTGAATAGCCTTGTACCATGTGACCTCTGTGATCATTCACAGATTTCACACATAGTAAGCAATGATGTCAGAAGTGTTTACACTGTGTCTGGAGTGATCACCTCAGAGGGCACCGGACACATCGCGGTGCTGCGCGCTCCCAGGGAGCGCGCACAAGCAGGGTGCGGGGAGGCCGTTTATAGACTGCCACCCGACCCTGCAGTGCCACCGTCTGGCCGTTTATATACAACGGCCGGTCGGGAAGTGGTTAAACCAAAAACCACTGAAAATTTTGAAAAAAAAATGTTTTCTCTTAGTTTTTGTTATAAAATTTTGTAAATAAGTGATTTTTCTCCACTGATGTGTGCTGAGGCTGCACTGATGGACACTGATGGGCATTGACAGGCATCACTGATGGGCACTGAAAGGCAGCACTGATAGGCGGCACTGACTGGCACTGATAGGCAGCTCAGATGAGCACTGATATGTGGCATTGATGTGCACTGATATGTGGCACTGACATAAGGCACTGATGGACACTGACAGGTGGCACTGCTGGGGCTACACTGATAATCAGTGCCCTGATGATCAGCGTAGATGTCCCCTCCGCGGAAAGCTGATTACCGACTCTCCTCTCCTCTCGAGCCGTCAGCGTGACAGCTCGAAAGGAGAGAAATGCCGATAACCGGCATTTCCCTGTTTACATGTGATCAGCTGTGATTGGACACAGCTGATCACATGACCGAGCCGACAGCTTCGGCTCTTTCCGTGATTGGTGATCCGCTGTGTCCGAGGGACACAGCGCACCACCTATCGCCGCGCTACACGCTCCCTGAGCCGCGCATGCACACTGAGAATGGGAGGACGTCATATGACATCCTCCCAGAACGAGAGAACCACCTTGCGCCCGTCATATTACTATATGGCGGGCAGGAGGTGCTTAAATTACTTCCTGATTTCCAGACCTAGGCAAATGATGTCATACATCCCAGGAGTCCTCAGGGGGGGAGGAGAAGATCTCAGCTAAGCACACCCTCCTGCCTGCATGAGTGAAGGAATATGGATTGTAGGAAGTAAATGCTACATGAATCATCTGCCCTTACTCAAAATGGCCAAAAAATGCTAGGGGGTGTTTTTCATAGTGATTTCTCAGCAGAAATAAATGGATGAGCGAGTTTGCTTTGAATATTAAAATACAACTAAATAGAGCTTTTGGTTTGTGGTGCTCAGATGCAGTGTAGTTCCGCTTTAAATCGTACAGTACAGAAGCATCTTAGTCATACACCATGGGATGTTCCCCAAGCAATAAATAAAAGGGTGGCCAACAACTAGGCAAAAGGAATTTGCCTAGGGAACACCAAGAGTAAAAGACCCAGGTTCAGAGTGCAGCCGCTAGAAACTTGTGGCTAAAAGCTGTGCCCTCAGAAGAATGGACCTGGTAAAACTTTGAAAGGATATGAATAGAAAACCAGGTGGCGGCCTCAGAATTGGGTAACAAAGGCTTGATGTTTAAAGGACCAGGATAATCCAATGGATCTGGTGAGTGTGCGTGCAAGTTCAGGTGGAGGTTTTTGTTTAGTAGCATAGGCTCCAACAATCAAATCCCCTATCCACCATGTAATGCTGGATTTAGAAGAGGGGGTGCCCTTTGCGAGTACCTGGAGAAAGGAAAGTAGGGAGAAAGATTGCCGGACAAACAGTAACTGAGGTACACTCCAACAGCTCTGACTTTGTCTAGGCAATGTAGAGCAATTGACTTTGGGTGCTTAGGATCAAGGAACAAGGATAGTAGAACAATGTCCTCAATGAGATGTAATGCTGAAACCACCTTTAAAAAGAAAGGATAGTCTAGGGTGCAATACAAGCTTCTGGTTGTGAAGTGTGAGGAAGGGCTCTTTACAGGAAAGGGCCACTTGTCCCGAGACATATCTGACAGATGAACTGCCACCAGAAAAAATGCTTGGGTAGCAAGAATCTTTAGGGGAATATCCCTAATGGGTTTAAATCGTGGTTTCTGCCAAAATATGACCCTTCAGGATGCTAAGAACTAGATTCAGGTCAAGATATGTTTAAAGGAAGGCCAAAATGAGAGGCAGAGCAATCTCTGGGATTAAAAAAAAAAAAAAAAAAAAAAAAAAAAAAAAAAAGTGTACTCACACCACAAAAAATGTGCATAAAAGATCAGCCACATGAAGAAAGGTTTCCAGGTATAATAAAACTTCCTGGAAGTAGCCTTTCTTGCTTTTTTTCTAAACAAAAGTGGAGTTACAATTTAACACAGGTCTATAGTCTTCATTTATGTTTTTTAGTGTCAATTTAATATTTCTGTGTAGTGCTTACGATTACATGGGCCAAAGTGTATGTTTATTCAGAAAAATTATGTTCTTCATTTTAAATAGAGCAAGGAATGGTTAGAACCTCTGGCAAGTTTATCTCCTTAACAGAGCAGTGGATTGCAGTATTTACCCACTTTGTTTTCCTAGCATTTTACCAGATAGAAGTGAGGAACTCAAACAGGCTGGAATCCCAGTCACTTTGGATTTCTGTATGTGTCCCTGTTCAGATTTTCCACAACTTTGTCAGATGAAACCATTTTTTTCGCCCTGACAAATTGAGGGCACAACTCCCTAAGGAGTCCCAGACAAATAAAAACTAGGATTAGTTTTCTAACCCCTTCTCTGCTCTACTCAAAACTGTAGGAGTTTTGAATGCCAGTTGCAGATACTTCTTTTACATATATCTTATGTAAGTATATATATTTAACACACACACACACACACCTTGTTTCCTTCTCCCGCAGCCTGTGCTAAGGCCGAACTTAGAGACTGGATGGTTTCTTGAAGATTCTTGCGTTCTTTCACCCAGGCATCTCTCTGGGTCTGAAGCTCAGTACGGTCTGGACTGGGAACCTTTGCAACAGGCCGTTCAGACAGCTCCAGAATCTTGCAGCTTTCCTCATGAACCATACTCAACATTTTCTGGGAAAAAAAAAAAAAACGAAATTGTATGTAAAGATGTTACTGTCCACTAATTATGAACTAGAAAAAAAATGTCAGCTTACCAAGGCAAAGGCGTATCAGTGTGTAGGAAATGTGTTAAATGAGGTTTTTAATTTTACCAATAAAATCCTTTTCTTGGATTACATCACAGGACACGCGTTCGTAATGATTACTACATGGGTTATGTTGCCACCTCTGGGTGAATGGACACTGACTAGGAAGGAAAAAAAAAAAAAAAAAAAAAAAAGAAAGAAAGAATAGGGTCCCTGCCCAAGCATAACCCCCCCCCCCCCCCCCACCCCCAGCTCAGCTAAGCCTCATCTGTGTCCTGTGATGTCATGCAAGAAAAGGATTTTGCAGGTAAACCAAAAATCCTAAATGACTAAGTGTAGCGCAACAGATTAAGATCTCATATATAAATAAACAATAATAAAAGTCCCATGAACAAGTCTCTTATAACACTACGCAATGTGAATAAGATAAAACCTTCTCTCTTCTTTACTGCCAGCCATGTCACCGCCATTAGGTGAAAAACCTGCTCACCTCACTTTATGATCTGATCAATAGGTCATTATGCGCTCTACATGTGAACAGACTTGTGTATACCCTCTGTGGTCTTCCTCCAGCTCATCTTCCGCTACCACCACTATATACACTCCTCCAGCTGACACTCTCATACAATATGTATTAGGGAAAACAGAAAAGTGGAACTGTAGTGCACTCTATAAAACAATTTATTAGTGCACAGATTAAAACCGCATACAAAATGTAAGAAAATAAGCCAACATATATAATGTATAATTTTGTTACATGGCTCACCACACTGCTCTCCTGGATGGTCATTAATACAAAACGTCTAAGTCTAAGCTCCTTCCACCTATACCAGTTACACCCCAGATGCAGGCTTCTTCAGTAGGAATGGAGGTGGCAAATGTGGAGCCCTTAAATAACCCATGTACCCCTTCTCCCTACCCTCCTGGCCACCGGAAGTGATGTCATCAGCCATCTTAGATCACCTTCGATCCCAGAAGTGATATTGTCAGCCATCTTGGGACACCTCCAGACCAGGAAGTGAAGAAAACCTGATCCCTCAAAGCTGGGGACACACTAAAAAGCGAAACGAGAATGCCTGCATTTACATGCACATGAACTTTAATGGCATTCCAGTCTTAGTCCATAGGGTTCAATATTGAGTTGGCCCACCCTTTGCGGCTGTAACAGCTTCAACTCTTCCGATAAGGCTGTCCACAAGATTCAGGAGCGTGTTTATGGGAATGTTTGACCATTCTTCCACAAGCGCATTTGTGAGGTCAGGCACTGATGTCGGACGAGAAGGCCTGGCTCACAGTCTCCGATCTAATTCATCCCAATGGTGTTCTATCGGGTTGAGGTTCTCCACCCTAGACTCATCCATGTCTTTATGGACCTTGCTTTGTGCACTGGTGCGCAGTTACGTTGGAACAGGAAAGGGCCATCCCCAAACTGTTCCCACAAAGTTGGGAGCATGAAATTGTTAAAATGTCTTGTATGCCTTAAGAGTTCCCTTCACTGGAACTAAGGGGCCAAGCCCAACCCCTGAAAAGCAATCCCACACCATGATCCCCCCTCCACTAAACCTTTCTCTTTGGCACAATGCAGTCAGGCAAGTACCATTCTCCTGGCAACCCAGACACGTCCAGATTGCCAGAAAAAAAGCGTGATTTGTCATTTTAGAGAACACATCTGCACTGCTCTAGAGTCCAGTGGTGGCATGCTTTACACCACTGCATCCGACGCTTCGCATTGCACTTGGTGACGTAAGGCTTGGATGCAGCTGCTCAGCCATGGAAACCCATTCCATGAAGCGATCCGTGCACGGTTGGTCTAATCTGAAGGTCACACGAAGTTTGGAGGTCTTTAGCTATTGACTCTGCAGACAGTTGGCGACTTCTGCACACTGTGTGCTTCAGCATGCGCTGACCCCGCTCTGTCATTTTACGTGGCCTACCATTTCGTGGCTGAGTTGCTGTTGTTCCCAGTTACTTCCACTTTGTTATAATACCACTAACAGTTGAGCGCTGAATATTTAGTTGCAAGGAAATTTCACGGATGGACTTGTTGCACACATGGCAACCTATCACGGTACCACGCTTGAATCCACTGAGCTCCTGAGAGCAACCCATTCTTTCACATACATTTGTAGAAGCAGTCTGCATGCCTAGGTGCTTGATTTTATACACCTGTGGCCATGGAGGTGATTGGAACACCTGAATACAATGATTTGGAGGGGTGTCCCAATACTTTTGGCAATATAGTGTATATAAAATATATATATATTACTCTGATGACCGACACTCTCTTGAGCGCTGTATTATATCACCAAACAATATATCATATTGTAAAAAGCATAATAAGGACAATTTATTCAAAATATGACTTAACATAGTATGCCAATTACTAATAACACAGTTTAAATCCAATTCCATATTTAATCCCAATGGAGAAAGGACCTTCGTTTCATAAATCCAAAAAGATTCTCGTTAACTTAATTGCCTAATGTAATTCCCACCTCTCCAATGTTGACCACCTTTTCTATCCCCCAAAAACGTAACTCTCTGGGGTCTTATTGTGTACTTGTCTAAAATGCTTAGACATACTGTTCCTTTTTACTCTTTTTTTATATTAAGGTGCTCTCTAATTTTAACATAAAGAGGCCTAGAAGTCTTTCCAACATATTGTATACCATACGAGCATTCCATCATGTACATAACCCCCTTCGTTGTACACGTGATGAAATCTCTAATTCTATAGGTTTTGTCTGTAGCTGTGGCTAAAAATTCTTTTCTCCTTTTGTTGTTATGCATACTTGTCTTGCATGCTTTACACCTACCACATGCATAAGAACCTTTTAATGCTGGAAAGAGGTTATTAATGGGAGGATCTAAAACCCCCGACACCAGCCTATTCCTTAATGTTGGCGCTTTCCTATACACAAATTTAGGCTGGAAAGTTAGAATCTCCCCCAGGACCCTATCTGAAATTGATGTCTCTTTATGTTCTCAATCTTTTTACTTTGGACATTATATAATCCAACACTATCCTTATTTCACCTTCTTTATTATCTTATCCTTATCTTTAATTAAATCATTCCTGTTAACACATCTTTCCTTCTCTACATCTCGAAAATATCCTTTCTGTATGAACCTCTTTGTTAACATTTCAGATTGTAGTAAATAATGACTTTCTATAGTACAATTTCTCCATATACAAACTGCTTTTCGCAATGTTAAACAAGCACGATTTATAGTGCCAGCTATCCAGATATAGAAAACAATTACGGTTTGTAGGTTTACAAAAAATTTTTTGTAACTGACAGTTAACAGAAATTTCCAAATCCAAAAATGTTACTTTAATCAAAGTGCAAAGACAAAGAAATATTCCTACTACTATCTAATCTGTTCATGAATTCCTGGAGGCTCCCCTCATCACCCTCCCACATCATGAATAGATCAATTATATAGCTCTCATAGCATACTAAGTGGCTTGGCTTGTTGAAAACGTCTGATTCTCAGTGGGCCATAAATGTGTTGGCCACATTGGCTGCAAAACTTGCACATAAAACGCGAGGTGAGCAGGTGTTTCACCTAATGGTGGTGGCACAGTTGGCACTGAACAAGAGAAGATTTTATCTTATACACATTGCACAGTGGGGCTGCATGAGTGCTGCATCATTTCATTGATGGTATCATGAATTCACAGATATACTGCTCTATATTGAAAGACGATGCTACCATCACTCTGTGCCCTTGGACATCGTGCACTTTTCCAACATAACAATGATCCAAAACACACATCTAAGACCACTGTTGCATTTCTGAAGAACGGGGTGAAAGTGATTCAGCGGCCAAGTATGTCTCCTGATTGGATCCATTTAGCATCCAGGCTCTAAAAGAAGCTCAAACTTAAAGAATGGAAAAATATAGATGTTTCAATATGTCGCCAACTTGTTCGTTCTATGCCAAGAAAACTTGGTGCTGTATTTACAAATCATGGAGGTCATATAAAATACTAGATGTAGTAGTTTTTTGTTGTGGGGTGTATTCATTTTTGCATCAACTAGTTTGAGTAAAACTGAAGATTTTTTAATCTAAGTTATATTATTAACCTTCCTGTCATGTAATGGGCTAAACACAAAGGAAGGACAACTGACCCTGAAACAGTGAAGATACCAGATAAGGGCAGGGATTCATAGGGCAGCTATTAAGGGCAAACTTTGCAAGGGGAACTATGCACCAGATGAAGGAATCTGGGAGCCACCACTGACATTCTCCCCACCTTTCTACATGCAAAAAGTCATGACTTGCTGGGCCATGAGAGGCTTGTAACCCAGCGGGAAGCAGCCACAGTTGCTGGGAGGAGTGTCAGGATATGGCAAAATACTAAAAAACACATGCACCTATACTTACTATGCCCTGAAATGCAGAAATCAGCTTGGTTAGTGGTCATGGAAGGCAGGATGGTTGAGACATGTGGTTGTTGACAAACAGGGTGGGCAAGGTAATATATATATATATATATATAGTGAATGGGACAAAATGACCAGCTAACTGCTTTTAAAAACACTTCCATAGCCTGTAAATTACCCCATAATAGATAAAAAAAAAAAAAAAAAACATCCCAATACCATCCTGTGCCCTTAAACACCCCACACATAGGGAACACTGTAATGGGTGTTGCCACAGCTCAACACAGTGGAACTTTACAGGCCACGTTGCAGGGCCTAGTAGGCCCAAAAACTTAAACCAACACAGCAGGTACACCCTTCAGGGCCTTTAGAGCAACCTGTAAGTGAGATCACCAAGTAGGCTGTATGTTGAAGACCACTGCCTGTAGCTTTAATTTCCAGACATTATAGACTGCCTCTACTCTTGTATGGGGGGGGGGGGGGGGTGTCTGCTAGCCATAGGAGTGTAAAGAACAGACCTGCAAATGTAGCAAAAAAATCCCAAAAACGCACTTCAGAGAGACTCGAGGAGGCATCCACCACCTTCAGGCACTAGTACACAACTATGACTTAGAAGATCTGGTAGGGGTTATGCCTGGTCAGTGACTCCTGCCTTTTTTCTGGCCAGTGTGCATTAAGTTGAAGGTGGCAGCAAAAACCATGTAGTAATGGCTCCTACCTCCTCTGTGTCCTGTGATAAAAAAATAAAATAAAAATATATCTCATACCAGGCATTAATGGCCAATCTCTTCCACAACAATATACTGACCTGTACAAACTCACCAATTTATTCCTAACATACACCGCTACACCTGCAGGTTGTGTGATCAGAAAAATTAGAGACACCCCTCCCGTCGGCCAAAACATCTATACACTGTACAATGTCCGTTCTACCAGGCACTGCTGTATTTAGCTCTTGTGCTGCCCTAGGCAAAACAACAAATCGGACATGCACCCCCCCCCCCCCCCACCCCCATCACGGAGAGAGCCTGACGCTGACCACCAAGACCAGACAACAACCGCCCCCCCCCCTCGCGTAGAGAGCCTAACAGTGAAAAAACAACAACCCTGCCACATTCAACCCCCCGACCCCCCCCCCCCACCTGAGGGAGCCTTCCACTAGCACACTCCCCCAGCGACAGAGCTACTAGACACCCACCTTCACAGCTCTGGACATCCTCTGGAACAATCAGGCTCTGCATACACCATCAAGCAGCCTCTCTCAGATCTCACCTGATCCCCATGCTAACCCCCTAAAAAATGCCACCCTAGGCAAATGCCTTGTGGTAAATACACCCCTGCTCCCAGGGGATCATGCTGCTTTAATTCCAGGCTGTAAATTCCAATATGTATACTTACAAATACAATCTGTGAATAAGAGGACTGCTGAAATACAACTACAGTAATGAGTACAGGATGTTCTAAAAAAATTATACCTGAAGTTGTACAGATAGTCCACTTCCACTCATCAAATCCATTTTTTGCTTTATGCCATACAAATTCTCCACTTCTTCTAACTGGAACTTCCCAGCTTCAAGCTTGTAATCTAGATAACAAACCATTACCATAAAGTGTTGCCCAAGTCAATGAAAGTTAGGTAAGGGCATTAGAAATTGCAGAACAAAGTAAAGAGCTCAAACAACACAGGCTCAAAAATATTGCAAGAATAAGAATGCAATTACCAAGTTCATCGGATTGTTCAGTCTCTATCTGACCATCCTTGCTTTGCAGATCATCGCAGGAGTCGTAGTCTGTCGAGGGGTGTCCTGTTTCTCTCACCTGAAAAAGACAGTAATACTATACTTGGACAAAACGCGCAGCACATATTCTATGCCAGTCATATGGTGATCATTCATTGAGAAACACAGACTGTTTAATGAGTTTAACACCTTTAAAGTGAATGGAAAGGCACCAATACAAGCACTGCTTGCCAGCTGCTCTGGTATATAACCATAGATTGTGGTACTCTAACTCAGCTAATGACATTTCAAAAACGCATATATGGAACACTAATAGCCATGTAAAGTACCATAAAAACAGAAGTACATATGTACCTCTATTGGCAAAGTAGGCATTTTCATTTTCTAACTTGCACAAAATGAAACCTGCATGTTTACACTGCTCATTTTCAGCAGCTCAGAAATATAAAAAATATCAAAAATTTAAGCAAAAGGATACCTTCAGGCTCATTCAGACAACACACATAAAAATGGGTCTGCAGTCAACTGCACTTCTCAGTGTTTTTATATGCATTTCCATACATTTTCGTGTGTGTGTGTGTGTGTTTTTATGCACAATTTTCTACATAGTTTTTTTTCCCCCAGAGACAGGTTTCCTCTGACTTAATTGCTGTGGGTGAGGTGCGTTGTGGTGCATTTGTGTGCGTTTCTGTGCATTGCAATTTTTTTTTTTTGTAACTTTCTATTTATTGATTTTGCATAGAAAACATATTCAAAACTAACCTTGCAGGGCCAAAAATGCCCCAACAAAAACCTACCTACCCCCCGAAGGACAAAACTTTTTACACAAGCCCAAAATGCAAACACAAATGAATAGGATTACATCATGGGTCCCTAGGCTAGTCCAAAGTCTAATACAGGGATCTTGATCAGGCCACGAGAGCATATACCATGTAGGTACACACGTATGACCATACACCGTAGCCAACTAAAGATGGAAATGGTAAAATGGAGCAATTGGTAAGTATTGCAATATTATTTAAAAACATGTTGCACAAAAATCGCACAGCTATGGAATGCAGAGAAACACTGTGTTCTTGTGTGGACATGACATATAGAAAACAACTGTTTTCTATGTGGCATTGCAGTTACCGGCGTTTTTTCACAGGCAGTGAACAGGCCCTATAAAAAGAGAGGGTACAGAAACTTTGCATATTTTATAGATTACGATAAGGGCTAAAAATACAATATTTAATTTAGGTACAGTAAATATAAATTCATAATAATATTTAATATATATATAATCACATGGAGTTTGGGCCAGGAGAGCCTGTGGGGGACCCGAAAAGGAGGAGGATCCGGGCTGCTCTGTGCAAAACCACGTTTTTTCACAGGCAGTGAACAGGCCCTATAAAAAGAGAGGGTACAGAAACTTTGCATATTTTATAGATTACGATAAGGGCTAAAAATACAATATTTAATTTAGGTACAGTAAATATAAATTCATAATATATATTAATATATATATCACATGGAGTTTGGGCCAGGAGAGCCTGTGGGGGACCCGAAAAGGAGGAGGATCCGGGCTGCTCTGTGCAAAACCACTGCACACAGCAAGTAAGTATATTAAGCAGGTAGGCAAGTTATTTTCCAAAAATAATAAAATTAACCTTTACAAAATCGCTTTAATTGAGAAATGGTAGCCGTTGAAGCTACGTGATCCTTCCCTGGGCCTTCACAAAGAAAACACAAAGAGGGCATCTGGCTGATGAATTGCTGCAGACTTCAGGCACAACCTAATAGCATGAACCACATCTAAAATGTTAAGAGCCTTATCCCCAGCATCTGCAGCTTAGGACATGCAATGGCAACACAATGTTTTGGTTGAGATGGAACAAAGAAACCACCTAAGGTATAAAATGACTGACTGGTGCAACAATACACCCGACAGCTTGCACAAAGGCAAGCACCAAGGAATGTGAAACAATCAGTCTCTGAAACCTGACCCTTGATCATACTCAAAGACCAGACCCAGATCTACTCAAGATTGCAGAAAAGCAAAGATGTGACCCACAATATAACTGTACAGATAAAATCCCCTAACCTCACACCAAGAAAAATAAGACATCAAAGTCTGTGGCAATACTTCCTTGAAATCACCCTCCAAGCCTTCAATAGGGTAGGAATGACAAAATCAGACCTCCCTGTCTCTGAAGACACTGGCTTCAACAGCCAGAAGGCCAGACGTTTGGACCTTACAACAGAATGTTGGGTCAATCTGAAAAAAATCTAAGGGTCAGCCGCCGAAATGTTTACGTCAGCATACCAAATTGGTCTGAGCCAGGTACCTCGATCAGAATTGCTAGAATTCCCCCCACTCAAATCTTTTGAAGCACATTAAGTAGAAGCTTTAACACTGTGAAGCTGTCCAGCTGAACCCTTACAAAAAGGTCTATTCAGCTGCTCCAACCAATGCAACAGGTCAAGGCGAATTGCCCTCAATTTCAGGATGCTAATGGGCAACAACCTCTCCTGGACCAAGTGATAGTCCAGAACTCCACCCAAGCCCATCAGGCTGACTTCTGTCCTCAGGACCCTCCAGGATAGAGACAGGAACAGTTTTCTCATCAATTATACATACGCCACTGTGATTCACAGCAGAGTGTACCAATACAGGGATGTTGAATTCCTATCGCCCGACGTCTGGAACATGCAGTTCCTGGCACCGGGCAAGTTTTGTTTATACATTTAGCCCTGTAAAAGCGATCCAAGCTGCTCCAGGAAGGGGGGAGGAGGAAGGCTGTCCGGACATCTGTGGATCCCCCCTTCCACTTGGCGGAGGAACGCTTTGGTCCAGGCCCACCCCACCTCTGCCCATTAGCGGAGAACAACGCCAGTCAGAGACAGGTGTTCTCAGTGTGTAGCAGCTCTCCATAAGAGTGCAATCAGGGCTGGACGGCCATACAGAGGACAGCTGGCTCTGATTGGATGCGCTCATCGCTAATGTGCAATGGGGGCAGGACAGGACCAGCAGGAGGAGGGACCTTTTTTTTTATAACTATATTAAGAATATAAATAAATATAAATAAATTATTTATTGTTGTAGTCCTTTGCTGATCGCTGTATTTATTTTTATATATCTTAAAATAAAAAAAAAAATACATACAGTAACTTACAGAAGTGAGTACACCCCTCGCATTTTTGTAAATATGTTATAGCTTTTCATGTGACAATGAAGAAATTACGCTTTGCTACAATGTAAAGTAGTGAGTGTACAGCTTTTATAACTGTAAATTTTCTGTCCCCTCAAAATAACTCAAACACACAGCTATTAAGGTCTAAACTGCTGGCAACAAGAGCGAGTACACCCCTAAGTGAAAATGTCCACATTGGGCCCAACGTATCAATATTTTGTGTGGCCACCATTATTTTCCAGCACTGCCTTAAGCCTCTTGGGCATGGAGTTCACCAGAGCTTCACAGGTTGCCACTGGAGTCCTCTTCCACATCTCCATGACGACATCATGAAGCTGGTGTATGTTAGAGACCTTAAGCTCCTCCACCTTCCGTTTGAGGATGCCCCACAGATGCTCAATAGGGTTTAGGTCTGGAGACATGTTTGGCCAGTCCATCACCTTTATCCTCAGCTTCTTTAGCAAGGCAATGGTCAACTTCGGGGTGTGTTTGGAGTCGTTATGTTGGAATACTGCCCTGCGGCCCAGTCTCCAAAAGGGAGGGGGATCATGCTTTGCTTCAGTATATCACAGTACATGTTGGCATGCATGGTTCCCTCAATGAACTGTAGCTCCCCAGTACTGGCAGCACTCATGCAGCCCCAGACCATGACACTCCCACCACCATGCTTGACTGTAGGCAAGACACACTTGTCTTTGTACTCCTCACTTGGTTGCCGCCACACACACTTGACACCAGCTGAGCCAAAAAAAGTTTATCTTGGTCTCATAGGACCACAGGACATGGTTCCAGTAATCCATGTCCTTAGTCTGCTTGTCTTCAGCAAACTGCGGGCTTTCTTGTGCATCATCTTTAGAAGAGGCTTCCTTCTGGGACGGCAGCCATGCAGACCAATTTGATGCAGTGTGCGGCATATGGTCTAAGAGGCTAACCTCCCACCCACCCTTTCAACCGAGCACGTGCACTCAACTTCTTTGGTTGACCATGGCAATGCCTGTTCTGAGTGGAACCTGTTCTGTTAAACCGCTGTATGGTCTTGGCCACCACGCTGCAGCTCAGTTTCAGGGTCTTGGCAATCTTCTTATAGCCTAGGCCATCTTTATGTAGAGCAACAATTCTTTTTTCAGATCCTCAGAGTTCTTTGCCATGAGGTGCCATGTTGAACTTGATACTTTGGGCCCAATGTGGACATTTTCACTTAGGCGTGTACTCACTTTTGTTGCCAGCGGTTTAGACATTAATGGCTATGTGTTGCGTTATTTTGAGGGGACAGCAAATTTACACTGTTACACAAGCTGTGCACTCACTACTTAACACTGAAGAAATGACACTTTGCTACAATGTAGTCACATGAAAAGATATAATAAAATATTTACAAAATGTGGGTGTACTCAGTTCTGTGAGATACTGTATATACACACACACACACATTTTTTTTTAGTATTTTATTTTAATCTGGTTTATTACTGATTGTTATCTGCAGATTTTAGGTTTCAAATTATTTTTATTGATTTTTATAAAATATATCCATTTATATTTGCATTTATTTTGATATTTTTATTATTTTCCATTTATATTTGTTGCAATCTGATTGTTATCTGCAAATATATATTTATTTTATTTACATTTTTATATATTTATTATTTTTTGTTGGTGATATCAGATTATTATGTGCAGATTATTATATACTTTTCATTTTATTTATCTGAATTTATTTTTTTATTTACATTTATTTTTGTTATAATTCAGTTATTGTTATCTGCAGCCTTGTACTGTCAGAGTTCCAGCCACTGGAAGGGGAGACAGGCTGTCCAATTCGGAACACCCGAACAACCAGCCGATGCTTTTGCTGGCTGATCACTGAGGCGGACCAGCACCACTCTGTCCGTCTCTATGATATAGGAAACGATAATCATACAACACTTTCCTAGATGGAAACAGCATCATTTTTAAAAATGGAACGCATGTGATCACACCAAACTAGGTGTGATCAAATGCTTTTCAGGGCAGAGGAGGGATTTGAGGTCTTATTGACCCCAGATCTTTCCATTAAGAGTACCTATCAGTGTCTATGGCTGTCACAAGGGATGTTTACATGCTGAGCAAAGACATACAAAGAAGCATGTTCTTGCTGACAGGAGAGAGAACCTTGTTTACACACAGGTCTCTCCCCTGTCAGCTTTGCAGACAACCACGAGTCCTGGCCGGGAATCACCAGCCAGGACCTGGGTGAATTACATCCCCAGCAGCCAATAGCGGCGCGTGTAGGGGGGGAGCGCACGTGCCCCCTATCCAGAAATGCAAATCACGTATATACATACATATATATATATACACACATACATACATATATATATACATACACACGTGATCCTGCTCAGCCATGCCGCCCTCTAGCAGTACTTCTGCTATAGGGTGGAGGGCAAGCGGTTAAAGCGTGACATGTTTTTATCCATTTACTTGTAACATTTTACAAAAAATTGGGTATTATATTGTGCTTGTGTGCATTAAAATTCCTGAAAGTATATTTTTTTCCCCATTCGTGGGTTTTAAGTAATTTTCTAGCAAAAAAAAAAAAAAAAGAATGATTTTTAAATATTAAAAAGGGGCAGGATCTTGACACTGAACGTAAAATCCATTCAGTTTAAAAACATTTGGGTATAGGATATTAAAAAAAAAAATTAAATGCATTCAAATACCTCTTTTCCCTCTGTTTTAAAAGTGATCACATACCCTCTAAGTTCCTTATGCAGCTGAGAACAGAGAGCTAGGGGAGGAGGAAGCAGCACACTGAACTTCCCAGTGAATGGCTGTGCAGGGGGCTGGCAAGGTAAGCAGTACCAACAAGGAAGAGCTGGAAGAACATTTGGCAACTAATCAGGTTAATGGCAACAGGTCAGTAGCATAACTGGGTATAAAAAGATTCTTGAAGACTCAGAGGGGTTTATTTGCTAAAGCTGCTTCACTCAGAATCTCATGCACCCAGGCATGGTAGCCAATCAGCTTCTAATCCAGCCTCTCTCAACCTTTTCCAACATGGAGGAACCCATGAAATAACTTTCCGGTCTCAGGGACCCCCTGCTAAAGGTTAATATATCTACAACTCATGACACAGTGTGATGGTTAGTGGGAAAAATGCTTCTTACATTTCTTATCATTGGGAAGATTTACCTCTTTATTGAAAGCTAAAAAGATCAATGGTGTCAGTGGCAACTTATCTGAAAGGCATAAATTGCTCATTGCTCAAGGAACCCCTAGCAACCTCTGGAGGAACCCTAGTTGAAAAACCCTGTTCTAACCTCAGCTTATTCAATTAAACTTTAGAATTAAAACCTGGAAGCCGATTGGTGTCTATGCAGAAGTGCATGAGTTTCTGAGAGAACCAGCTTTAGTAAATAAACTCCAGGGTGTCTCAGAAGTAAAGATGGGCAGAGGATCATTTAATCTGTGAAAAGCGGAGTCTATAAATTGTAAAACAATTTCAGAATAATGTTCCTCAACGTTCAATTTCAAAAGGCTTTAAATATATAAAATTTACAGTATATCAAAAGAATTAGAGAAATCTCTGTGTAAAAGGGGACAAGACTGAAAACGCAATATTGGATCCCCGTAATCTTCAGGCTCTCAGACAGCACTGTATTAAAAACAGACATGATAATGCGATGTCAAAAAACAAAGCAAAAATCCAAGCTCACGTTAAAACCAGGGGTTTAACTTGCACACATTTGCAAATATATGCATAAGTTGCAGGGTGTCACCCTTCCATGCACTCCTAGCTGCAAAAGGATGGTTATAGATTGGGGTGGTTGCCATTTGTTTGTACAATGATTCTGTGACACATTAAAATGCATAAAAATGTATAGAAAATCTTCTGGCCACAATAAAATTTTCCTTGTTGGGGGGGGGGGGGAGGGGGGGGGGGGGGGGGGGGGGGGGGGGGGGGGGGGGGGGGGGGGGGGGGGGGGGGGGGGGCATTTGGAGGACAGGTATGTGAAGGGCTAAAGGTTATTAGCAGGGACTACCCTGGGCACTCAAAATTCCTGATGCCATACATCCTAGGGGTCCAATTTTCCACCATCATGGCACAAGGGCATTCAGGGACTCTGCTCCCCAGCTGGGTATCACTGTCTTGGACCCGTATAGCGCCCTAGCAGTTCACAACGCAAAATATCATTGCAGAGGGTCCCATTCCATAAGGTCCAGTGCCAACTGTCAACCTGACAGACTGTTCCTTCGTTGCCCAGTACGGGGTCTGGGTACCATTCCTCTGATCATTAAAAAGCTCTGCGTCCTTTTTTTATCAACCAGTCCCTTGCTTCTCAGTAGTGGTCACTATGATCCAACATTGCTGATCAGTGTGCTCTGCACTTATTGGATGTAATTGGAAACAGTGTTATTCAGGATCGGCAGAGAAGTGCTGGCATAGGAGGAAGGGGAGGGCTCTTAAATGTAAACTCAAGCAGTGCGATTGTTGTAAATGGCCATTGCAGAGATCAGAAGGTGCAGAGCCATACCACCTCGTTCTGTGCATTTTGTCTATGGTCTGGGCTGTCTGATGATAGCTTGACAAGTCATTCATTTAACAGGAGCACTGGCCACCTGTGAGCATTTTCTGCAGTGATGTTTTATAAACGGCACTCCAGAAATAAAGCATCCACCTTTCAGAATTGTTTTTTTTTTTACTGTACAAGGTTATCAAGATCGATAAATATTTGATCTGTTGGTTTGCTAAACATATAAATGCCTCAATTTTGAAAATGTTATGTAAAAGAAAATTGTTTTTGTTAAAGTAAAATCATAAACTACTTACAGGGCTGGTCTTCTGACTTGAATGTTGCAGGGAGTAAACACTGTCAGATAAAGAAGAGGTGCTGGATCCTAGAAGATTATATTGCACCAGTTGCTTCACACAACCAGATGACTTTGATTTCATACCATCTAGCTCAGCACTATGATTAATGCTCAGCTCTGAGAAGGGAGTCAGTCCTCTTAAGCTTTGCGCTTGTTCCTCAAGTTTTCTAACCATGTCAGGGGATTCCCAAGCACTTGAGTCTGTCAAGCTTTCAGAGAAGCTCCTCTGCTTCACATCAGATTGCGTTGAGCCAATATGTTTATTAACTTTGTCTTCAATGCTGTGTTTTTGCAAGTCCACGGATATAACAGAAATCATTGCTTCTTGGCTTGCTAAGGCTTCCTGAAGTTTTTTTACCTGAGCTCCTAGGTTCTGGGAATGAGAATGTAATTCTGCCACACAAGCTTCCTTCTTCTGTTAAAAGAGTGTTGAGAAAATAAGAGTAAGGGTTGCAAAGTTACATAAATGCCACTAACCTGAACATACCAACTACTTGATTTATATTAAAGCTGAACTAAAAGCAAATAGTTAAAAACACAGATGAAGTGCATACAAGTCATTTTTTATCTGCCAAAGGGTTTATTTCCAAAACCCCGGCAGACATCATAGCCAGCTTGAAGACCAAACGATTCTATACTGTGTTTAAATACAGCTAGATGTTGTCGCTACACCCAGTGTGTGACTGAACAATGAAGAACAAGAACAATAGACTGATGAGCTGGTCTGTTCTAGCCTATAAATTTGGTTATTGCACAAGTGCTGTAGCATAACCGATTAGCTGCTTTTGCTGATTCCACCTCTACCATTCTGAACTCTGCTGTATGATCCGGTTTACAAATATGTGATCTGGATGCGTTTTGAACCAGATCCAATTCTCATGACATATGAAACATTGCACTACATTGTGCCTGTACACACACACTAGATTGCCAAAAGTATTTGGACGCCTGCCTTTACATGTACATGAACTCTAATGGCATCCCAGTCTTAGAGATGCAAAGGGTGGGCCAAGCCAATACTGGACCCTACAGTGCGCAGTCATGTTGGAACAGGAAGGGGCCATCCTCAAACTGTTCCCACAAAGTTAAGAGCATGAAATTGTCCAAAATGTCTTGGTATGCCGACGCCAGGGTGGATAAAAATCAATGATTTTTTTAAAAAAAATAAAAACAAATGGATTTTTTTTTTATTTAAATCGAATTTGTTTGATTTACATCGGATTTTTTTGAATAAAATGCTTTTTGAGGAAAATATATTACCATCCAAAGGTTATTCCATCATGAAATAAAGATTAGTTTTTTAATTATGTAGAATAAGGCTGTATATGTTTAATTTTTTTTGGCACATAAATTCCATTAATCCATTCACAATGTCATGCTCTTCCAGAGGTTTTTGTAAGATTATTGGGCATTTTCTCTGCCTACAAGATATTATCACAGATGCTTGGTTTACCTTTGCAGTTCTCAAAACTGAATTTGACTCAGCGGAGATCACATGCCTCTTCTTCACAGCAAAAATGTTATAACATGAACAGAGTTAAGAAAAAGACCTTAATCCTAACTTCTACAAACCTATGAATACAGAATCAACCCCTTCAGTGCTAAGTTTCAAGAAGTTCAGTGAATAGAAAGAATATTTTTCTGATTGTTTGGAGTGGAATAGATCTGCACAAGAAGAAAGTGAAACTAAGTGTGAGGAGGAAGGGGCTGACAGTCTAAGTTTCTTAAAATATATATATTTTGTTTAGCCAAATTAGTTATTAAACATGGATGTTTGTTTAAGCAAATAACATATGCTGGAATGGTATTGTTTCAGTTGAATAAATTATTTAAATTGTTATTATTAAGGTAATGATTATTTTTCTCCTTCCTAAGTACAACAGAAAAGTTGTCCAAATATGAATGATTAACCTATTAAACTGGGGATAAAAAAAACAATAATATGAAAAGTTATTCTAAAAATCTTCATCTACTTGCATATTAAAGTTATACCAGCAAGAATTAGTCTATGTAGAAAACTATGATTTAAATCAAGCCTTACTGACTAGTGATTTAAATCGTGACTTAAATCAGTTTGATTTAAATCAAATCCACTCTGGCTGACGCCTTAAGAGTTCCCTTCACTGGAACTAAAGGGCCAAGTCCAACCCCTGAAAAAAACAACCCCACACTATAATTCCGCCTCCAGCAAACTTTATACTTGGCACAATGCAGTCAGGCAAGTACCGTTCTTCTGGCAACCACCAAACCTACACACGTCCCTCGGATTGCCAAACAGAGGAGCGGGATTAGTCACTCCAGAGAACACGTCTCCTCTGCTCCAGAGTCCAGTGGTGGCGTGCTTTACACCACTGCATCTGACGCTCTGCATTGCACTTGATGATGTTAGGCTTGGATGCAGCTGATCGGCCATGGAAACCCATTCCATGAAGCTCTGTACACATTGTTTTGAAAAGCCCAAATGAAGTTTGGAGGTCTTTAGCTAGTGACTCTGCAGACAGTTGGCGACTTCTGCGCACTGTGCGCTTCAGCATGCGCTGACCCCACTCTGTCATTTTACGTGGCCTACCACTTCGTGGCGGAGTTGCTGCCAATATTTTATAATACCACTAACAAATGATACTGGACTATTTAGTAGCAAGGAAATTTCATGGATGGACTTATTGTAGAGGTGGCAACCTATCACAGTACCACGCTTAAATTCACTGAGCTCCTGAGAGCGACCCATTCTTTCACAAATGGTTGTAGAAGCAGTCTACATGCCTAGGTGCTTGATTTTATACTCCTGTGGTCATGGAGGTAACTCCTGAATCACATGATATGGCTGCCCAATACTTTTGGCAATACAGTGTATAAGTGGTGGAACCGGAGTGCGGTTTCAATGTGAAATGAAAAAAAGAAAATAAAAAAAGAAAATAAAAAAAGAAAATAAAAAAAGAAAATAAAAAAAGAAGAGTCCTGTCAGTTTTCTGAGCAGTGTGGTCTGGCTCAGGTGCGAATTCAGGCTCATTGACTTCTATAGGAAAGTTTCTGAATTACACATGTTTATCAGTTGTGAACAGGATAAAATCTTGAACTGATCTAAACCGGACATGAAATTGCTGAACAACTACTACATTTTGCACTGGACAATCCACACTAATATGAAGCTGTAGTCTCTCTCTCTATATCTATCTATCTATATATACACACACATACACCTGGCCAGTAACAACTCCTGTATTACTGTGCCCCTACTTTGAATGAAGGAGCACAGGGGGCACCTTTGGACAGCAGAATTGTCAGTCTGGGGGGAATAAGAGCATTAGATGCATTAGCAGATCTAGTCTTTGAAGCTGAACTTCAGTTGCAACAGTTTTTTGTCCCTTTTGGGATAAAGATTTTACATAAATAAAAGCCAGTCATTGTAAGTACCAGTAAGTGTTGAATGATTTATCTCATCACTTTAGCCAATACATTTGCAAGAGAACACTGTTTTGAAAGACAGACTTACTGGCAGTATCAGCAAGTGAAAAAGGCCTAAAAAAGAAAACTAATGCAGCCTCTATAGCCAAGAATTGGTATGCTGCAATTCACTGTGTGCACAAGGGCTGGACAAATTTTCTTTGAATCTAGGAGCCAGCTAAAAAAGTTAAGAGCCAGTTTTTTGTTTTTTAGCGTAGCGTGGGTTGTCAGCGTCCGGGACTTATGCGATTTGCCACATGAAACTCACAACAAAACCGCTCCACTGAAAGTAAATGGCACCTGAACCTGTGTTTTGCTATCACAGCGATTCTGCTGCGATCCCAAACTGCCCAGGTGTGAATGGAACCTCCCTGGTTCACACATATGCGAATCTGAGTTTTAAAACGACTCCACAATCGCATAACAGGCTAGATATTTTGTGTAGAGGATGTGTATAGGGCGGGTTTCAACCTTCCTTACCTTGGCCAGGCTGAAAGAGGTGAGCTCATTCTCTGAGCACTGAACACCTTGTACTTGGGAGCACTCTAGGTAGGTTGCAGTTCTGGAATATGACAGCACTGGAGAATAATGAGTTCCTGGTAGATTCACGTTTGATTCCTATCAAATCTTTGGCAGTCACAAAATAGTTTCTTTCTACCCTGTTGACTATTTCAAACAAAATGTTTGATGGTTCTGTAATCACGCCCCAATATCTTAGCAATTCCAAGAGTGCTGCATCCCCCTGAAAGACTTTTTACAATTTTTTTTATTTTTAAGAGTCAGTTAAATCTTTTAGCCAGAGGAAAAGAAGCTAATAATTATGCACACCTTGATATAGGGTGTTGATCTCCTTAGGCCACTCCATCCCTCATTACACAAATACACATCACCCGACATGCTTAAATCCAATAAGCATTCAAGTTAATACAGCTTGGAATTGGACAATATACAGAAAAATGATGATTTGGTCAAAATACTCACTTGGCTAATCATTATGCACACATTATGCACACAGTGTACAATCAATGTTTGCTTTTGGGTTTAATACCGTTTTAATTAGCTGGAGCTGCCAGCCATTCTCACAAGTGCCCTTTAAAGGATCCTCCATATTCACTTTGAAGGAAAAAGTTTCAGGATACTGTTCACTACCAAGGACTAGGTACCCACACTGCAGTAGAGGTCTATGCTGCTTAAAGCAGTAAAAAAATCTAAAAGCAAACTATTATATTGCAGCTTACCAGTTCTTAGATGTGATGGCTGTATCAATTTTCATCAGTTGGCTTTTTTCTAACTTCATTTGGTGATCTGGCCACAAAATCTGTTTTATAAAAGCTCAAGCTCTCCAGGAGAATGCATCAGTTTACAGGGATGAGACAGATCTTTTAACACTGGCAGGGGTGGTTAAAATGATCAATTTTTATTTATGCAAAACCTTTTTTCCAAAAGGAAATGCTGGCTTTTCAAAAAAAAAAAAAAATTGAATGCCAAACATGTTATACTTACCTGCTCTGTGCAAGGGTTTTGTACAGAGCAGCCCCAATCCTACTCTTCTCGGGTTCCCCGCCGAAGCTCTGGCCCCTCCCTCCCCTGCTGAGTGCCTCTATGCATGAAGGTAAAAAACCTCCAGTATGTAGCTACTCCTCCAACTAATACTTACACCAGCCTGATACAGCCATATGCACAAGAGCGGCTAATGTTCAGGCTCTCTGCCTGGCTCAGAGATCACAGAGGCTCATTGGCTCCCACTGCTGTCAGACACAGCCAATGAGGAGGGAGCGGGCGGCTGCAATAAATTACATTTTTGGTTTTGGGTTTAATACCGCATTAAAAACCAAGCTCAACTGTGACAGGTAACCAGCAGACTGAGGTTCACTTTAGGGGGAGAAGATAAATAGTTTCACAAAATATTTTTTCCATGACTTCGAACACATATCTAGAAAGCAGTCATTTAGATTCATAGTTATGTTCTAACCTTAAGCTGCTGCTGGACACGTTGGGCTTCAGCTTTCCAGCTCTCGCATTCTGTATGCAATTCATCTACTATATTGCTCAAAGCGGAGAGCTCATTCTCTGTACTCAGTAATTTAGCCTCTCTTTCACTTGCTAGGCGCTCTGCAGCATTCACCTGCTCATTCGAAACAGCCTGTAAAGTGTTAAGAAGTCAACAAAATGATGATCGAGATTAACACAAGTTTATTAAACCCTCCACCCTTAACAGCCAGTATTTTTTTTATGTATTCCTGGCATATGGCAGCATTAAAGGATAAGTTCACCTTTCATAACATATTGCAAACATATTCAGGGTGCAACATGAAACGAATGGACCGGCCCCCGTGCCTCCCATTGTGACAGCGAACGTCTCATTCTGCTAGCTGTCAAAATTAAAAACAAAAAAAAAACAAACAAAAAAAACGCAGCCGAGGAGGGGAAATGAGAAAACTACAAGCCCCAGTAGCCTTTGCGGCTGTCAGCTTATAGCTTTCAATGAACTACCAAGGCACTGTAAGCCGTGGTAGTTCATAGAGTTTTCCTGTCAGAAAGTATCAGCTTCCCCATACAAGGTACAAGGAAGGAGATACAGTGACAGGTCTGAAGGAGACCTGCATGGCATCAGCAATCTGCTGATAGCTGGCACAATGCTTTACAGGCTCCCAAAACAACAATAAAATGCACGTTTTTTTTTACCTGCAAAAAAAGTGCATTTATTATTTGCTGAAAGGTGAACTTATCCTTTAAACTAAACGTGTACATTTTATATTTCTGCTGTCAGAAGTATCAGGGATGCTTTTCAATACAAGACAACTGTAAAATTAAACAACCCCAAAACAAGCAAAAAAAAAACCAAAAAACCCCCAAAAAGGTCTAGTCAAGTGAACTTCTCTATTAAATCTCTAAAACGTGTACAAAGTCTCTGCTTTTATCTTTAAAATAATAACGGTCAAACCCCTGGATTTTTGGTCCAAGCTGTTCACAAGACCTTAACTGCCCAATTTAGAAGCAAGCCCCATAACCTACCCATAAGTTCTGCCCTCTACTACGCAAAACTATCCAATGGCAGCATCTCAGTAATTAGTAGACTGACATTTGAAGGATAAAAGACAAGGTGGTGGTGCTTTCTACCAATATGGGCAGAAGTCGAGGCCCTGTGCTCAGCCCACACCTACAGGCCAGGATTTCTAAATCGACACAAAAAAACAAAATAAATAAAAGAATCCTGCAGACTCCAACTTTTTTAGCAATGCTATCAAGAAAATTATTAGGCCTTTAAGCAAGATTTTAATTCATAGTCCTTTTGACAGTGTATAGGTATAAACCACCAAGAGGAATATCGTGCATTGTATTTATATATAAATATATATATATATATATATATAATCTATTTCAGAAAGACAATAAAGGACAACACTTTCAAAGAAAAACTTCCAAAAGATGTTGTGCTCTAAAGACGTGAACAAGTAGGAATTTAAAATGAGAGAGAACCATGAGAAAGGTTTGGGGCTGCCCTAAATTTCTTGTTGCCTGGCTGTGTCTATAAATACTTCAAGTCACAAACCAGGAACACATACTGCAAATGAGTGTAAGATAAGTGTTAGGACATCTCATCTCTACATTTACTCCCTTAGGAGGGACTGAAGCCCAAAAATCTACATGACAACTAGGCAATAAACATTTTTTAGAAAGAATAGCTATCAAAGGCAGCCTACATTTTTCTCACATGACAAGTTTTCCTACAAGGTTAAAATCAGTCAAAATGGTCTAGCGATTTGGCTCTATACAAATGCTACTACAATAGGAGAAAAAAACTGCAATATGCGCAAGTGATTTATATAATTAAAATCAAGCTTACCAAGTGCAATTCAGCTTCTACTTTGGTCATATTCTGATTGCCATCAGTCTGTGTTTGAACCACTTTTGCAAGCTTCTGAGACTTGTTCTGCCACTCTTTAAGACACTGCTTGAGCTCTTCTAATTCTTCTTTGTACTTTATCTCCCTGTCACTTTGTTCCTTTGAGTTCAGAGACAAGGTAGTTTGCAGAGAGACATTCTGTTCTTGTAGATTCTGCAGGTCTATTTTGGTAGCTTCCAAAGACTGAATACTTTGTGCCAGCTGATTACGCAACTCAGACATATCACCCATATTGTGCTCCTGCAAAGTCTGAACTTCAAGTTCCTTGTCCATGAGGATAGTATCTTTCTCCCTTACAGTGTCCTGAAGTTTCTGCAACTGGACAGAGAAAAGAGCAATGGCTTCTTCCCTCTGTGACACATGCGTCCTGAGTAGTTCAGTCTCTTCTTGCAAGTTTCTATGCTCCAAATGAAGAAACTCCAGGGCTTGTTCATTTTGCCTGGAAGACTGTTGTAGATTTTGTAAATTAGTCTCCAGAACCTCAATCTTTGCAACATGCAGTACGTCCTTTTCTTCCAGTTGCTGTTGCAAGGCTTGCAGCTCAGCAACACACAAAGACTCTGTTTCTTCCAAACTCTCTCTCTCTACATATGCTCCTTCTAGTTGTTTGACTCCGTTTCTAAGCTCAGCCTGCAGATTATCTGCTCCTCCTATACCCAATTGATCTAGACTTTCTTGACTATCGCTGACCTCATGCCTAATGGGTCCCAGCTGCTCAAGCTCCTGCTGTAACTTTTCAATGACTTCATGAAGCTGTTCCATGTCCTCCTCTTTGCTCTTTCGAAGTCTCTCTTGGTCACTCCGAAGATGCTCAACTAAAGACCTCAATTCCTCCACTTCGGATGTCTGCAAGTGTTTAAAATAAAAAGTTCTATGAAAGTATAGCACTTAAGAATGTCACAAAGTATAAACACATACGGACGTTGACCTAGAAAAGCATGATTGCCTACAATACACTGAATATTCATAAAAATAGGAGTTGATATTACAAACCAACCCAATTTTTTTATGGGAAATACTTTACATTCATGCACAATTTAACACAAGTAAAATCATTTAACTGAGATGTAATTAACCGCTTGCCCTCTGCCCTATAGCAGCTACAGGGCAGAACAGCTGTGCAAAATCACTTGTATATACGTGGTTTGCATTTCTGGGTAGGAGGCGAGTGTGCCACCCCATCCATGCCACTATTGCCTGCGGCGGATGTCAGTTATCGGGTTACGGTCAGCGATTCCCGGCCAGGACTCTTGATCGTTGGCAAAGCTGACAGGGGAGAGACCTCTGTGTAAACAACACAGGTCTCTCTCTTGTCAGCATGGACATGCTGCTTTGCATCTCTCTGCACAGCAGAGAGATACAAAGCAGCAAGTCTCCCAAGTAAAACAGCATACAATGTAAAACAGTTAACCCTTTGATCGCCCCACATGTTAACCCCTTTCTGCCCAGTGTCATTAGTACAGTGTCTGTGCTTTTTATTAGCACTGATCACCATTAGTGGCACTGAGGATGTGAGTGACAGTTGGGCCCCACCCAGTGTCAGAAAGACCGATGCAGTCCCGCTATAACTCGCTGATCACCATTACTAGTATTTAGGAAAAAAAAAAAAAAAATCTCTATCTATATACACATTTACACACACACACACACACACACACACACACACACACACACACACACACACATTATATATTAGGACACAGACACAATTTTAGTTTTTCCAAGGTATTGACCAAAACATATTCAAGCTATAGTTATATAAAACAGATATGGGCTGAAAGTGCACACTCTCAGGTTTAGGAATTACAGCTCATAAGAGTAGCCATCACCCCTTTTTCAAGGGACCAAAAGTAATTGGACAATTGAATATAATCATAAATAAAATGATGATTTTTAATATTTTGTTGAGAATCCTTTACTGGCAATGACTACCTGAAGTCTGGAACCCATGGACACTACCAAACACTGGGTTACCTCCTTTCTGATGCTTTGCCAGGATCTAACTGTAGCTGTCTTCAGTTGCCTTTTGTTTGTGGGTCTTTCTGCCTTTAGTTTTGCCTTCAGCAAGTGAAATGCATGCTCAATTGGGTTGAGATCAGGTGACTCAGCCATTGCAGAATATTCCACTTCTTTTCCTTCAAAAGCTCCTGGGTTGCTTGTGCAGTGTGTTTTGGATAATTGTCCGTCTGTACTGTGAAGCGCCATCCAACCCACATTGCTGCATTTGGCTGAATCTGGGCTGAAAGTATACCTCTAAACACTGCAGAATTCATCTGGCTGCTTCTGTCACATCATCAATAAACACCAATGACCCAGTGCCACTGGAAGCCATGCAGGCCCATGCCATCACACTGCCTCCACCATGTTTTACAGATGACGTTGTGTGCTTTGAATCATGAGTTGTTCCAAGCCTTCTGCACACTTTTTTCTTCCCATCATTCTGGTATAGATTAATCTTAATTCATTCATACAAAGAATACTTTTCCAGAACTGGTCTGGCTTTGTTAGATGTTTTTTGGCAAAGTCTAATCTGGCTTTTCTAGCCATGCCTTTTAGGTTGCTGAGCTCACCAGTGCGTTCTTCTTTCCTCAGAATGTACCAAACTGTTAATTTGGCCACTCCTAATGTTGCTGCTATCTCTCTGATGGATTTTTTTTCGTTTTTGAATCCTTACAATGGCCTGTTTTCACTTGCATGGACAGCTCCTTTCAACGCATGATGTACGTTCACAGCAATAGATTCCAAATGCAAATACCACACTAAAAATCAACTCCAGACATTTTACATGCTTAATTGATGAAGAAATAACAAAGGAGTAGCCCACACCTGGCCATGAAAAAGCCTTTAATTCAATTGTCCAATTAGTTTTGGTCCCTTGAAAAACAGGGGATGGCTACTCTTAAGAGCTGTAATTCCTAAACCCTTACTCCAATTTGGATGTACATACCCTCAAATTAAACCAGAGAGTTTGCACTTTCAGTCCATATCCATGATAGAACTATAGCGTGAATATGTTTTGGTAAATACCTGAAAAAAACTAAAATTGTGCCTGTGTCCAAATACATATGAACCTGTGTGTGTATATGTTTTATAACAGAGTAAAAAATATTAGGTTTTTTTTTTTTTAAAATATAGCGCAAAGTGGTAGGAAGAGTGGAGGAGGGAGGCAAGTTAGCAGGGGGTGGGGTAGGCTTCCCTGAAGAGATGGGTTTTCAGGGTGCGCCTAAAGGAGAGGAGAGTAGGTGATAATCTGATGGGTTGGGGCAGGGAGTTCCAGAGGATGGGTGACACCCTGGAGAAGTCCTGGAGGCGGGCATGGGAGGAGGAGACCAGGGAACTAGAGAGAAGGAGGTCTTGTGAGGAGCGGAGTGTGCGTGCTGGGCGGTACTTGGATATTAGGTCAGTGATGTAGTTCGGGGCAGTATGGTGGACAGCTTTGTACGTCAGCGTTAGGATTTTGAATTTGATCCGTTGCGCAATCGGAAGCCAGTGGAGGGATTGGCAGAGGGGGGTGGCGGAGACAGAGCGGTTGGAAAGGTGAATGAGTCTGGCAGCCGTGTTCAGGATGGACTGAAGAGGGGATAGCCAGCGGCGAGGCAGGCCAGTGAGGAGGGAGTTGCAGTAGTCGAGTCGTGATATGATGAGGGAGTGGATGAGCTGTTTAGTGGTTTCTGGGGTTAGGAACGTGCGGATTTTGGCGATGTTGCGGAGGTGGAGTCTGCACGAGTTTGTTAAAGATTGGACTTGGGGCTGGAAGGATAGGTTGGAGTCCAGAATGACACCCAGTACTCTGGCCTGCAGGGCGGGTTTGATGGTAGCGTTGTTGGATGTGACGGAGAAATCAATGGGGGGTGGTGTCCGGGCTGGGGGGAAGACAAGAAACTCGGTTTTGGAGAGGTTCAATTTAAGGAAGTGGAGCGACATCCAGTCTGATATGTCGCTCAGTAGGTGTGTGATTCGGGCTGAGACCAAGGGGGTGAGGTGGGGGGTTGAGAGATAGATTTGTGTGTCGTCGGCATAGAGGTGGTAGTTGAAGCCGTGAGAGTGTATGAGTTGGCCAAGGGAGGAGGTATAGATGGAGAAGAGAAGGGGCCCGAGGACAGAGCCTTGAGGGACCCCAACAGAGAGGGGGAGTGAGGGGGAGGTGGTAGCATTATAGGTAACGCTGAAAGAGCGTTGTGACAGGTAGGATGAGATCCAGGAGAGAGCAGAATCTCTGAGGCCGAGGGAGTGTAGTTTTTTGAGGAGGAGGGGGTGGTCGACTGTGTCGAAGGCCGCAGAGAGGTCAAGGAGTAGGAGCACTGAATAGTGTCCATTAGCTTTGGCGGTTAGCAGGTCGTTGGAGAGTTTGAGTAAGGCAGTTTCGGTGGAGTGTAGGGGACGGAAGCCGGACTGTAGGGGATCGAGGAGGTTGTTGTCGTTGAGGTGAGAGCATAGGCGGGTGTAGACTAGGCGCTCGAGGAGTTTAGATGTAAATGGGAGCAGGGAGATGGGTCTGAGGTTGTTCGGGTCATTGGGGTCCAGGGAGGGCTTTTTAAGTATGGGGGTGATGTGTGCATGTTTCAGAGGGGAGGGGAAAGTGCCTGAGGAGAGGGAGAGATTGAAGATGTGGGTGAGGGAGCGTAGGATGGAGGAGGAGGAAGGTCGTAGGAGTTGTGAGGGGATAGGGTCGAGGGGGCAGGTGGTGAGGCGGGCATCAGAGAGGGTCTTGGAGACTTCCTCGATGGTAGTAAGGTCAAAGGTGTGGAGTGTTGGGGGAGCTTCAGTATGAGGAATGTAGGGTAGGGTGGGGTGGAAGAGGAGGTCAGAGCAGTGGTGGGGCCGTGGGAGAGGGGTGATGGGGGGGGGTAGCTGAGTGAGGGTGAAGGGGGTTGGAGAGAGTTTGAGCAGCGACGAAGTCCCTGCGGGTTATGTCGAGGGGGAGGGGGGATAAGGGGGTAGCTGTGTGAGAGGGGACAGGTTGAGAGGGCGTGTGAGTTGCGGCAATGTCCTTGCGAATTGTGTCAATTTTGTTTTTGAAGTGATTGGCAATCTCAAGGGCAGTGAGTGAGGTGCTGGGTGGAGGTGGGGGGGGTGGAGAGAGTAGAGAGTTGAAGGCAGAGAAGAGTCGGCGAGGATTGGAGGAGAGGGCCTTGATGAGGGTCAAGAAGTAGGCCTGTTTGGCAGCATGGAGGGAGGAGGTGTAGGTGCGGAAGGCAGATTTGTAGCGGGTGAAGGCTTGTTTGGATTTGGTTTTGCGCCATAGTCGCTCTAGGGCACGACTTTGTCGTTTGAGGGTTTTGGTGTGATCAGTCTGCCAGGGCTGGAGCGGTCGGGGTCTGGTGTTGCGTGTGGTTAAAGGCGCTAGTGAGTCAAGGGCTGTTGAGAGCGCATTGTTGTAGGCGGTCAAAGCCAAGTCGGGGCAGGACAGGGGGAGGATGCGGTCGTGGAGTTGATCAGCTGCAGAGTGGAGGGAGGCAGGGTTAAGGTTGCGGAGGTTACGGCTGGTAGTAGTGTGACATTTGGAGGGGTAGGCGTTGGAGGACGAGGAGATAGAGAAGGTGATCAGGTTGTGGTCAGAGAGAGGGAAGGGGGTGTTAGTGAGGTTGTGGGGAGCGCATCGGTTGGAGAAGACAAGATCAAGGATATTTCCGTCGGAGTGGGTGGTGGATTGTATGCACTGTGCAAGTGCAAAGGAGGAGGTTAGGTGGAGGAGACGGGCTGTGTCCGGGTTGTCGAGGTTGACAGGGATGTTAAAATCCCCAAGAATTATGGTGGGTAGCTCAGAGGAGAGGAAGAAGGGTAGCCAGGAGGAGAAGTCATCCAGGAAGCGGGGTATGGATCCAGGAGGCCGGTATATCACAGCAATCTTCAGGGGGGTTGGGGAGAATAGTCGGACGCAGTGGGCCTCGAAGGAGGAGAAGGATAGGGGGGGGGGGGGGTTTGGGAGGACTCGGAAGGTGCTCTGCGGTGACAGGAGCAGACCAACCCCACCACCTTTACGACCGTTAGGCCTGGGTGAGTGGGTCCAGGTGAGACCTCCATAGGAGAGTGCAGCAGGGGAGGTAGAGTCAGTGGGCTGGATCCAGGTTTCCGTGATCGCCAGGAGGTTGAGGGAGCGGGAAACAAAGAGGTCGTGGATGGCGGTAAGCTTGTTGCACACCGAACGGGCGTTCAGGAGTGCACATGAAAACGGGGGGGAGATTTTAGGGAGCAGGGAGACAGATACTAAGTTGCGGGGGTTGCAGTAGGACGTGGAAGTGGGAGGGTGTTGAGCGGGTGAGGGAGGTGGAGGGCCAGGATTTGGGGAGATGTCCCCCCGCGGCTAGGAGGAGGAGAAGGGTGAGAAAGGTGGCATGGGAGCGGGATGTGCAGGAGCGTGAGAAACTCCTAGTGGAGGTGTTGGGGTCAGTGGGAGAGCGGAGTAATAGGAGGAGGTGGTGGGTGCCATAGAGGGGTGAGGGAAGCAGTGAGGACACGATATACAAATGTTTGGGAGGGGCAGAGGGATATAGTGAATGGAATTTGGGAACGGAGGAGAGGAAAATGAGAAGGAGGAGTGGAAGAGACATTTTGGGGAGGTGAAGAGAGCAGTAGTAGGGAGATGATAGCAGTGAGGGGGAGATGTACAGGTTGTGGGGTGGAGCAGAGGGGTAGAGAAATGAGATTTGGGAACAGAGGGTAGTAATATGATGAGAAGAGGGGCGTATTATATAAAGGCACACAGAGTGGGTCTCAGGCATGTAAGAGGTTTCCCAGGGTGTTTGCTTGCAGTCTTCCAGCATGCAGTAGAGCTTCTTACTGTTGTTGTGTCTTCCTGCTGCTTGGGTTCTCCTGCTTTAGTTCAACTGCTGCGTTTAACTGCTTCTTCTATGCACTCGTTCGAAGCCGCACTCAATCTGAAGCAGCACCCCATCAGAGACTGTGCCCCCCATCAGAGATCTCCCCCATGAGCTGATCTAAATTTATAGGGAGATGCTCAAATGAGCATTCAACTCCACCCCAATTAGAAGCTGATAAAGATCACATGAGGAGTGGGGGATGATTCTCTCAGGAAACAGACACCAATCGTAAAACGGGTGCAGCTAAAGGTGAGAGCTGGTCAACATATACAAAAATATAAATACACCATTTGTTCTGAATATAGCAGGAGTCAATCAGAGTGAGGTTTTGGAGTTAGGCAGCAGTGCGTTTTGGAGTTAAGAGTGGAGGTAGGAGAAAGGAGCATTTACCCAGGAGGAAGGCAGCAGGAGTCAATGCGTTTTGGAGTTAAGAGTGGAGGTAGGAGAAAGGAGCATTTACCCAGATACATAATGCCTTGTGCTTGATGAGTATTGAATTTTAGCTTTGATTTTTGAATCTGAGCTGCAATGTAACTCTAAACAGCAGGGCCTAGTAGCACTGTTATTTGAAGGGGTGGTTCAGAATTAGACATTCGTCACACTGTACACAGTCTGCTGCATATCCAACTGCAAAATCACTTGCCATAAATAAAAGGTTTATTAAAAGGCTAAATTAGTTTTGTTTAGGTCTTTCATTTAAAATAACGTTATACAAGTTAGACTGTAAAACAAAAAACTAATTCAAGGTCTGTCAAGGAAGATCACACTTGCTTTTGTTAAAGTGGTAATAAAGCCACTCTGTTATAAGCTTACCTGTAGGTAAAAAGAATATCTCATAAATGTGCAGTTTAGCAGTATTTCGGGTTTTTCTTACAGCAGCGCATGCGCTCTGAAGGAACGTCATACCTGTGCCTTTCCTTCAGAGCACTGTGCCGTGTTCCCAAAACACCCGTGCGCATGAGCGGGAGTGATGTCATCACAGCTCAGCCAGCCAAACGGCCGGAGCTCGTGAACCCGGAAGGAAGACCGAGCGAAGATGGAAGCCTCTACAGTGGTGACAGCGCACCGCTGGAGGGCTTCATTGTAAGGCAAGTTTTGCATAATATGCTAGTATGTGATGCATTCTAGCACATTAAGCCTTTACCTTGCAGGCGATTTTTTTTTTTTTTTTTTTTTTTTAAAGATGGGTTTACTACCACTTTAAACTTCCATGCGCTGCAGCCTTTTGTGTTCCAGGACCAATTACTACTCTGCAGTTAGTTCTCTACTGCACGCTGGGCTTTGTTGCAAGGGTCAGTTTTCATCAGCCAGCATACATTAACAGGCCTGTAGGCTGTGGTTGATGGACTGCAGCTGTACAGTCAAACACAATTTGTTCAGGTAGTACAAAGTATAACTAAAGGCAAAGCCTATTTATTTGTTTTGGATTGTGGAGTGGGGATTAGAAACCCTGTCAGTTTTTACTGCAATCTGTGCCCCATTAGGGAGAGATTAGCCCCCTCTCTTTGTCCTGCTCATCATTGAAAGGAAAAGAAAACACCAATTTTGGGTTGACACCAGAACAGCAATAAAAGGAGAAATTTTCGAATGGGGACAGTAGTTCTGGTGACTGCCTGGGATTCGCTTACTTTTCAGGGATTTAATCTCACATTCTATTTTGGCTATGGAGAAGAAAACAAAAACAAAAAGACAAAAAAATTTGATAGGGGTTACCTTACTCTAGCTGAAAAACGTTTTGCCATTAGTTCTACTTTAATGTAAATTTCAACCTATCCAATAATTATGTCAAACAATACATGTGCAAATGTATATGGTCTATCCTCTACTGCATGTTCAGCTCTGCATTTACAGGAAAAAAAAAAAGAAAAAAAAAAAAAAAAGCCCTGGCTGCAATACTCTCCTCTACTCTAAAGCGGTCCCTTGAAGACTTACTGCTCCCCCCAATACAAAGCTTACCTTCTAGGTTAAATGATGTCCAGCGTGAAAACATGAAAGGGAAATACTTTAATATATTAATGCGAGCATGCAAATGAAAACACGCAAATTAACCCATGCCCACATATAAATAATGGATTTTACTGAAAACTGCATTATGAAGGGAAAACAAGCATGGCCTGCATGACAAACATTTTCTTCAGATAATCATTTACCTCCTCTTGCAGTCTAAGAAGTTGCTCATTTAAATGGTCAATCTCCTGGTTCTTTTCTTGTAACAAAGCCTGGAGAAGTTCCAGTGAAGAGCTAGGTTTGTTGTGAGTTCTTTCAAGCTGGAGAGAGGACATTTCCTCCTGATAATAGAAAATTAAAAATGATTACATACTAATCCAGCAGCAGAGACTCTTGTGATCTCCTCAGCATTGCACTTGCCTTTAGCACCAGGTACTCCTCTTGAGACTGCTGAACAGCCTGCTCACTCTGTTTGCGCTGGATCTCCAGCTGCATGTTCAGCTGAAGGACCTCTTCTGTCTTGTTTGTTAGCTCTTCTCTGTACAGCTCTAGCTGCTCAGCCAGACTTTCAGCCTGTAAACAAATGTAGTAAGTGCATTGCATTGGTGTTAGACTTTCATTTAAATAGATCTTAAAGACAATACCTCTTTTTCTTTCCTTTGGAGGGCATCCCGCTCAGCTTGTAATTCCTTCTTTAGGAGGCTATCAGGCTCGCCTTCCACAGGCAATCTGTGCCGGGTCTCATCTAGCTTTGACTGCAGGGCAGAGATCTGAAGCACATTATTGTACTGCTGCTGTTGTAGAGCTTCTTTGTCCTAAACCATATTGACAGATTTAAAGCAGTGACATGGAAACATGAGTTACATCTTTTGCTTTGACTTATAACATTTTTTGTTTACACAAGTTACAAAAGGTTTTCAGCTATCAAATCAAAGTTAAAATGGTTTTCAAATTCACTTAAAATGTCAGCTTGGTATCAGTTTTTTTCTATTTATGTTAATGTTTCAAAAACGTGTTTTTCATGTATTGTTATTGAGGGGCATCAAAACATACTTAATACAAGCACTATATCCAACACTGCAGTGCTGCACTATGGTTCTGCTTTACTGCTCCTCCTCCTCTAACCTATGAAAACAATCCACTCTCTACATAGCTGATATTACAAATGGAAACGAGAGCTTGAAAATTAAATGAAAAATATAAAAAACTGTTTTTTTTTTTTTTCACTGGATGCGAGCAGCTTAACCAGTTCAAGTCAGAGATAAGCGTATATGCGGCCGCTCTGAAGGTGAGCTTTAACGCTGAGAGGCTGTATATATATGCGTCCCTATGTTAACATTTTTGCCTGTGCTAGGATCTCGCTCCCAGCACAGTTGACGGCTGGTACTGGAAAGCTCCCGATCCAGAGATTTCCAATCATGTGACTGCTGTGACTGCCAATCACAGCGGTCACATGATCGCTGTACCACCCCTCCCAACATTTAGACCCTCTCGAAGGGCTGGGAGGTAGTGGCAAGGAAGGGGTTAAGTTCCTGCTAAACTGTCCAGGATTCGATTCATCTATGGAAGAGCTGGTTGTGCTGAAGTCGAAAACCACATTCAGTGCATCAAGAAAGGAGGAAGATGACACCCCTATAATCCTGGTGAAAAACGACATGCAAGAGCTCTTAACAGAGCTATTGGGCTTTAATATTAAAAAAAGTCAACAGAGCTTTAGGGGTTTACCCCACACGACTCTCTGGTTTATGGCGTGGAGATAGTTGTCCCCTTGACTCCGCTCCAACTCAGTGTTTCTGCCAGTAAATCATGCAATGAATAAGCACGAATAGTGTATGCCCAAAACAAACTTAAGGAAGAGATCTTCCTTTTTTCAAAACTTGTTTTTTTTCCTTGTCACAAATGTTCTGTTTGCGCACTTAATTCGAGGATCGAATGTTTCTGATCACCACAAACTTCACAGGAATATAATATCAATATATGTTTATCACCTGTTCTACTAAGAACGTAGTTTACATGCTTCAATGTAAATGCGGTAAACAGTAAGTTGGCCGCACCACTAGGTCTTGCGGGGTTAACCCCTAAAGCAATGTTGGCTTTTTTATATTTCAATTTTTTTTAAATTAATTTTTAAACAGTATAAAAGAGGCAACAAAACACGCCCACGCAGGGGCTATCAATTGAACATATAAAAAAAGTTTGCTTTTTTAATATAAAAGTCCAATAGCTCTGGTAAGAGCTCTTGCATGTCTTTTTTTTGCCAGGATTATAGGAGGTGTCATCTTCCTCCTTTCGTGATGCACAGAATGTGGTTTTCCGTTCTTGTTGGACTTTTTTTTCTGATGGACTTTAACACCAATTAGCACAGACTTTCAAAAGAATTGATCATTTTTTACACTATGTTTCTGAGTGAAAGGCTCTTGTCAACTTACAACAAAAAGGTATTTGAAAAGCAAGAGGCTGATAAACTGCAAATATTAACTCCCTCTTAGTAGCTAATCTACCCATTCTTAGAATTTGAAAATAATTTGAATTCCAGTGTATACATTTTTTTCAAAGAGTAAGCACAACTAGCCTGGCATAGAACTCATCTATAAACTGTGAATGAAAAGACTAAACCCTATAGCACGAAAGAAACTGTGGATCGGTTATAGAATACTGCCATGCAGACATTGCTAAAAAGAGAAGTTGGAAAAAGCATCCAGTATCAGCATAAGGTAAGGCATCTGAAAGGGCCTACACTCAACTCCAGAGATGCTCTCAGATGATGCAAAGACAAGTTGTACCAATGGGCCCATAATATTCTTTGACAAGTAACCCTGCATACTAATAAATAAATACTCTATAAGGCTCACTAAAAAATAAATAATAAAAAAAAAACCCTTTGATTGTGAACATACATAACAAAGAATTCCACATGTAGGTCTTTTAGACAGTTACATTTGTCCAGCGTGGACCACTGTAAATACCATATCTAGGCAAAGCATTCTCTGACGAGACGAGGTAGAGACCAATCACACTCTGCACCTCATCCAAGCAGAGAATGCTTTGCATTAATTAAAAAAATGTTAATTAAGCAGAAGTGCAGCCAAATGGTGCAGCACTCTGAATCAAGTGGAGATAACTGTAGTAGCAGTGTCTACTTCAGTGATTTCCAGATTCCAGGGGCATCGACCAGGTATGATTTATACATAGTTACATTGGTCTAATGCAACTATGTAAAAAATACCCATGCCTGGAATTGTTCTTTAAGTTAACCCACCATATGAAATAGCGAACCATCCTTGCCAGATACAAGATACTTCAGAACACACATTTCTTTTCTTACCTGCAATAATTCCTTTTGTATCTTGTGCATATTCTGCAGTTCTGCTTCCAACTGGCTGCATTTTTTGGATGCATCTGCATTGCTCAGAGCAGCTTGCTCCAGTTCCTGTATTCTCATCAACATCTTGTCGATTTCGTCATTTCTTTCCGCTATTTGTTGCTCTAGGTGATCTTTTCCCTCAATCAGCAGGTTTAGGTCTACTTTCTCTTTCACATTTGTCTCCAAAGTTTCATCCTGTAGAAGGATCAAGAAGTGACAAATCCATCTAATGTACGCAATAACTCAACAGCTTAGTAATTGGTGGTGAAATGGGCCAGATAAAAAAGACACACAGAAATATTGAAAATTAGATTTATTGCTACACAACTACTACTCGAATACACATGCAATCAGGAAATACTAGATGTAAAGCATAGAAGAATGGTGGACGGAAATGCAAGTTATGGCCAACTGGCTGGTATGAAACTACAAACTCCAGCATGCGTTTGCGGAAGGAAAAGGGGGGGGGGTCAATAAAGCCACGAGGACGACTGTAGTTACACATTAGCTACAGAATGCCAAGGATTGCCTAATAGTTGCCATGCAGCACTATTAAACACAGCAGTCATTAATTGGAGGAAGATATCATGTAAGTGAATCATTCTGCATGTTATCAGCTACAATAATTTACATTAGAAGAAAACAGGTAGGTTTCTGATGAAAACCGAACCATTCATACCTGTTCACTCCAGTCATGGTGCTATTTCACCAAAAGAGAGAAGGGGAAAAGATGATAGAGCCATTAATCAACAAGTAACAATACTGACATACTGTACAGTATAAAGCAGAAAAGGCTGCCCTGGAATATTAGAGCATGGTCATGTGAGAAATCTAGTTATTTCATGATTTGATTTTACAGTGTATGATCAGACTCCATAGCCTTTTTAGCAGAGATCAAGTATCTGAATAGCTGGGCACTAGGTCATGTGACCAGCTATCACGGGATCCAAAAGCTATTAATAACTCAAGTCAAAGTAAATGTTTTAAAGGTTTCTCCAAAAATAGCAATGCTTTCACCAGGTGGAGAGTTAGTAATTTTGCTTTAAGGTATGGGAAAAAAAAAAAAAAAAAAAAAAAAGTAAAGTATGGGATGTCCATTTTTGTCCCTTTTTGAAAATGCTAAATGAATGACTGCACTTGGCTTTAGTGATTTTCTGACAGTCATTTATTCTGAACAAACTGTCAGAATTCATAATTTCTGGTGGTGTAAACAATGGCAACCCCATGCTTTTCTTACCCACAGGGCCACTTTAAAAGCCAACTCCACATTTCATGTTGCATCCATATTTAGCAAGTAACACGAAACATATTTAGTCTGTGAAACCCTGGGAAATGAGAAGTGTGCTTACAAGCCGTGTCGAAAAAAAACTCTAGCCAATTTCTCTGTACATCTTCTATTGGAGGTGTGGTGTGTGTGGGGGGGGGGGGGGGTTTGGGGTGTTAAGTATCATCTTAAAATCAGCTAACACACAAAAACACAGATTGCATTTTGTGCATTTCTTCTACACGTTTTATATTGATAAATGTTTTCATTGATTTGAACTAAAAAAAAAAAAAAAAAATCACGGAAAAAACCGCATAGGTGTGAATGCAGCCTTATCCATAACCAAAAAGGGTATGCCTTGAGTTGGGCCTCAATTTATAAATTCTGCACAACATTTTTAAGAACACCAAACAAAAGTTTAATAAGTAAAGATAAGAAAAAAAAAGTGAACTGGGACTAAACACCAATTTCATACATATAAAACCTATCTACAGAATACAAAATGGGACAAGCATGCCCCACATTTGCTTTACTCACCCTGTATGTCCTGGAATCTCCATGGTTTTTCAATGCTTGTTTTAGCTGCTCCTCCAGATTATGGATCTCTTGTTGGAAGTCATCTCTCTCATGTTCACGCTCAACAGCTTGTTCCTTTAATGAGACATGAAGAATAAACAAGCATAATCCTATTATAACTTCAGTAAAAGCTTTAGCTAGTGCAGTCTTTAACTGCTTCCCGTCCCTACTGCTACAGGGCGGCACAGGTGTGCAAAATCACGTATATATACGCAACTTCGCATTTCCGGGTAGGGTAAGCGCACGAGCCCTACCTGTGCCGCCATTCGCTGCCGCAGCTGTCAATCACCAAGTCCCAGCCAGTTATTACTCTCTGGCACCTGGTGATTGCCGAGCATCTCCATAGCCATGCAAAGCCGTGTGCTTACAGTGAAGCATAAACACAGCCCCACAGTAAAACATACAGCATAGTTAACCCTTTGATTGCCCCACGTTAACCCCTTCCAGCCCAGTGCCATTAGTACAGTGTCAGTGCTTTGTATTAGCACTGATCACTGTACTGGTGTCACTGGGGATGTCAATGACACCAAGTCAGTTCACCCGCTGCATTCCCACTACAAGTCACTGATCGCCGCCATTACTAGTTAAAAATGTGTATCTATATATCTATATATATATATATATATATATATATATATATATATATATATATATATATATATATATATATATATATATATATATATATACACACACACACACACACACACACACACGTAAAAGCTATAACTTTCACGTAAACCAATTAATTTACACATATTGAGATTTTTTTCTTTTCTAGCAGACATGTAGCAGAATACATTTATGACAAAATTTGTTTTTAAATTTTTTTACTGGACATTTTTTAACAGCAAAAATTCAAGAATATTTCTCAAAATTGTCTTTTTTACAGCACAAAAAAATTAAAAACCGCACAGGTGATCAAATACCACCGAAAGAAAGCTCTATTCGTGGGGGGGACACACCTTTGTTTTTCCAGTACGGTTAAAGTAGTAGAATTAAAAACAAAAACAAGTAAAAACGTAACATACTTTCTCATCTATTTACTAATGCTAACAGCATAAGTATTAAAAATAGTTAAAGCAGTATTAAACACAAAAGCAAACGTTTAATATATTGCAGTTAACCAATTCTTAGATTTGATTGCTGCATTAGTTTACTATTTTAGGCTCTCTTAATCTGGTGATTCAGTCAGTGTTTTTCAAAAGCTCAAGCTCTCCAGCCAAATGTATCAGCTTACCTTGTTGAGACCATTCAACGACAGGGGTGATTAAAACGGTCAGCAAAAACGGTTTTCTGTAATCGATTATGAAGTGTTAGCTGGAGTTTGGCTTCAATTTGTTATTTGTATTCAAATCTGCTAAAGATTTAACACTCCCAGACTGACAATGCTGCTGTCTGCTGTGCCCCCCTGTACTCATTCTTCCAGAGTGGGGTCTTACTAATACTGGTGTGTTACTGACCAGATCACCAGGTGAAAACAGAGGGAAAATAGCCAAAGAAAACAAATGCAGCCCCCAAAACTAATGATTGGTAAGCTGCAATATAATAAGATTTTTGGTTTTGTTTTTAGTACCGCTTTACTGTTGATTGAGAGGGCTTAGTTCCACTTTAAGCCCAACTGAAGTCTTTTTTTTTTTTTTTTAATTATTGGTGTGAAGTTAGGCTGTATAACAAGTAATACATGTGACACTTTTTTCACACTTAGAACTGGTTTAGTAGCATGTTGGACTACTGGAGACCCACAGTGCTTCAAATCAACAATGCTGCTCAGGGAGTGTAAGAATTGTAAATTGGAGTACTGTGCAGAAGGTATGTTGTACTGTAGGGAGGCCCAGACTGCCACAAATGTAAGAAAGCAGAGATTAGGATCTCCAACATGCAGCCAGCACAGGGCAGCTTCATATAGTTCTAACCACTAATAAACATTCATTATTAAAAAAAAAAAAAAAAAAAAAAAAAAAAAAAAAAAAAAAAAAAAAAAAAAAAAAAAGAATCTTTACTTGTAAAAGCAGCCCAACCAGATAAATAAAACCAAGATTATAATTGGGCTTTGATATAATGGCTACTTAAGGGCCAGTAAACAAGTGTGGTAAAGTTTTCTCTTTTGAACGTTTATAAACTGGTATTTTACATCTTTAATGTTATAAATGTAGTCTAATACTACATTTTATTCAAAAGATTTTTACACTCTAAAATTTAGTCTAAACTATTACTGAGTCACTTAATTGCCTCATTGAAAACTTCTGCAAGATTTAATATAACAATTTTATTCTTGGAATATAAAACTGAAATACATACATCCATAAATTGTCTCTGATGCTTTAGCTGCTTCTCTAGAGACTGAATCTGCTGCTCAAGATCAGTCATTTCACTTGTTTTCTTCAACAACTCCTGGTTACGAGCCATTTGGTCTTCCAGTTCCATTTCCAGGACCCTCATATGGGAAAGTAAGTTTGATCGGTCCTTGTCGGCTTGGCAGTGTAACTCAAGCTTCTCCTTTACTAAGCGCTGAGTTTCTTTCAGAAGCTCTGAAAACAAGAAAAAAATTGTAAAAACCCTCAAAAGTTACATAGCCCAAATACCAAAACAAGCACCCAATTCTTCCAGTAAGTCTACAAGTATACAGCAGACTGAATCACTACAAATGGTTTTGAGCCGTAGTTCCATTAAATCTCATTACTATAAATTATACACCATATTTCAGAACAAATTATTAATGTACAATTTACTTCTTTTTTAAGGAGTATTAAAGAACCCCTGGCATGACTATACACCACAGCTGATGTCCAATAAAAGAGATAAGGTATATGGCAGCAAACCAAAGTCCAATAATGCAAGCTCTGCCCACAAATAACATAAGAGCATCCTGAGATATGCGACTCCAGTAGAACCTTAAAACAGTATTAAGCTCAAAAGCAAACTACACTGCTCAAAAAAATTAAAGGAACACTTTAAACATCAGATCTCAATAGGTAAAAATATCATGCTGTATATCTGTACAGATATGGACTGGGTAATGTGTTAGGAATGTAAGGAAGCCCCATCATTTGATGGAAATGAAAATTAACCTACAGAGGACTGAATTCAAAAACACCCCGAAAATCAAAGTGAAAAAAAGATGCAGCAGGCTAGCCCATTTTGCTGAAATTTCATTGCAGCAACTCAAAAATGGTACTCAGTAGTTTGTATGGCCCCCACGTGCTTGTATGCATGTCAGACAACATCGGGGCATGCTCCTAATGAGACAGATGGTGTTCTGAGGTATTTCCTCCCAGGTGTTCTGGGGTATTTCCTCCCAGGTGTGGACCAGGGCATCAATGATCTCCTGGACAGTCTGAGCTGCAACCTGGCGGCGTCAGATGGACTGAAATATAATATCACATAAGTGTTCTATTGGATTTAGGTCAGACGAGCGTGGGGGCCATGCAATGGTTTCAATTCCTTCATCCTCCAGGAACTGCCTGCATACTCTCACCACACATGAGGCCGGGCATTGTCGTGCACCAGGAGGAACCCAGGACCCACTGCACCAGCGCAGGGCCAGACGATGGGTCCCAATACCGAATGGCAGTCAGCGTGCCATTGTCTAGCCTGTAGAGGTCTGTGTGTCCCTTCATGGACGTCTCCCTAGATCATCACTGACACCACCAAAATGGTCATGCTGAGCGATGTTACAGGCAGCGTAGCGTTCTCCGCAGCTTCTCCAGAACACCTCAAAGTTTAGATCCATGCTTCACGTGAAATTCATACATTATAGTTGACACCTCAGTGCTCTCACCTCCAATGCATGTTAAGCTGCATGTTTATTGAAATCTCTCCATCGTTGGTCTATCTCTTCCAACCACTAGGGACTGTCCACTCCTCCTCTCCTTTAGTAGATGTTAGAGTAGCCTTACCACATGTTTTGGAAGTCTAGCCAAGTACAGGACCCCAAAATCCAAAAAGCACCTTGGAGGCTTTTAAAGGGCTTTATTTCCCCATACCTTTTCCTGGCTACCTATCAGCTTTGGAGGCCCTGAAATGCCAGAATAGTTCAAACCCCCCCCCCCCCCCCCCCATGATCCCTTTTTGGAAAGTAGACATCCAAAAGAATTTGACAAGAAGCATGGTGAATATTTTGCAGGTCTCGTTTGTTGCCACAAATTTTTGGAAAATTTAGAAAGAAAAATGAACATTTTATTTTCCTCAAAACCTTGCAAAAAAAAAAAAAAAAAAAAAAAAAAAATCTACAAAATACTCACCATGCCTCTTATTAAATTCCTTGGGGTGTCTACTTTCCAAAAAGGGGTCATTGGGATTTGTTATCCTGGCATTTCAGGGCCTTCGAAACTGATAGGTAGTGAGCAAGTAAAACAAAGTTACCCACCTTCAGGCTTTCAAAAGGGTCACTGGATTTCGGGCTTCTGTATGTGGCTAGGCTCCCAAAAAGTCTCACACATGTGGTATCTCGGTAGAAGTAGCAGAATGTATTTTGGGGTGTAATTCTACATATAGCCATGGCATGTGTGAGCAATATATAATTCAAGTGACAACTTTGTGTAAAAAAATAAACGTCATTTTTCAAAACTTTGTGGTAAAAAATAAAGTACTTCATTGACTTAACATGCCTTTCAGAAAATAGTCTGGGGTGTTTACTTTCCAAAAAAGGGGTAATTTGTGGGGGGATTGTGGTAGCCTGGAATTTTAGTGCCTCTGAAACTGTCATAGGCAGTGAGGAAATTAAATGAGGAATTTACGCACCATAAGGCTTTCAAAAGGGGTCACTGGATTTCGGGCTACTGTATGCAGCTAGGCTGCCAAAAAGTCTCACACGTGGTATCCCCATATTCAGGAGAAGTAGCAGAATATATTTTGGGGTCTAATTCCAATTATACCCATAGCATGTGTGAGCAAAATACCATTTAAATTACAACTTTGTGGAAAAAAATTAAAAAAAATTTCCATGGACTCAACATGCCTCTCAGCAGATAGCTTGGGGGGTCTACTTTCAAAAAATGGGTCATTTGGGGGTGTTTGTACTTCCCTGGCATTTTTGCACCTCAAAAAATGTGATAGGCAGTCAGAAAGTAAAAGCTGTGTAAATTCCAGTATCTATAACAGTTTGTAGACGCTATAACTTTCACACAAACCTATTAATATACACTTACTGGGATTTTTTTTTTCTTTCTAACAAAGCCATGTAGCAAAAAACATTTTGGCCTAAATTTATGACCAACTTTATTGGATTTTTTTTTTATAACTGAAAATTTTGAAAAAAAAAAAAAAAAAAAAAAAACCTCATTTCGGTCTTTTTGTTTATAATGCAAAAAATAAAAAAACCCAGTGGTGATCAAATACCACCAAAAGAAAGCTCTATTTGTGTGAAAAAAAGGATACATTTCGTTTGGGTGCAGCATTGCACGACCGCGCATTAGTTTAAATAGCACAGTGCTGAATAACAAAAACTGGCCTGGTCAGAAGAGGGTAAATCTTCCGGAGGGCAAGTGGTTAAACTGTAATGCAATATTTAAGCATTTCTTTAGAATTTCCCAAATATATTATATACTCCTGGAGTAATAATCTAACATTTTGAACATGCATTACAGGCAGATCTAACCGTTGTGATACACAAGCTGTGTTAATTTTAATATCAAATTTAATATCAAAATTTAGTTTAAAAACTAAAATGGCACAGACCATTCTTCCGCAACATGCCTTGAATACAACAGTTTTGGAAAAATGGTCAAACTACTAGGTTTAATTCTGCTGCAGCAAACAGCAAGAAGACAGGCTTTTATTGCAGAAGAGACTTGCAACATCTCTTCTGCAATAAAATGCCTTCACCTGCTTGCTCACCGTCTGATGCTGCAAATGGACCTGTATTTGTGAAGCTCAGCTTACTGCGCCAGGCCAGTCTGTATGCCAGAATGACTACCTCTTCCATATGTGCAGGAGTGATGTCACCCTAGGCCAGCCAACAAAGACAACTGAAGACCAGCGCACAGGCAAAGATGCCAAGGAGGGACTATACAGTTGGGGGGGAAGGCATGTACCTCACTTACTTTAGATCCGATTTAAGAATGAAGATAGATGTGGACTGTTTGCCATGCACATCTGTGCTAGATTCTTTCAGATCCAGTTTTGATGAATTCCCCTCTCACTATTTAGAGGAGGCAAACCTACAGGCAGGTAAGCCCAATTCCAGCTAAATCACTTCTTGTCTAAAAAGAGTAGGGGGAATACATCCCCCCTTGAAGCAAGTCTATAAGAAAAAGTATTACAATGTTTTAGAAAGTTCCATTTGGGAATAAAAAAAACTGGCATTTTTTTTTACCAGACACCCTGAAAAAGGAATTTTTTTGCTTACCTGTACATTTTTTTTTTATATTGGAGTACAGTATGGGACACAGGCTGGATATGTATATATCCTGGTTGTAGGCTGTTGTTATCTTCAGGTGACTGAACACTGGTAAAAGCTTTGCAGGGCACGTCCACCTGGACATACTACAACCCCACCCCACGAGTACTCAGCTTTGCTGCAAGCAATGCAGAGTAACACAAACAGAGATGAAAGTGGCCATTGTCCTGTACTGTGCCCCAATATATGCAATTTACAGGCAAGTCAAAATTAATTTATTCTTACAGCTGAATTCAAGGAAATCAGCCACTTTGAAAAATATGCAGGCATACTACAACTTAAGTCCAACGAGGTGCATGCTGTGACAAACGCGGTGCCCGACCCCTGCCCTTCTCACCATCTCCTGACAAAGGACCAGCTAATATCACACTGTCACTTACATAATGTTATTCTCAGCTGCACCCTGAACAAAGATTTTCTGGCTTGCGGGACCACAATCTAAGTGCCAGCAGACAGAGTGGTTGTCACTGGGTTTAGTTACCCAAACAATTGGCCCTTTAAACTCCAACCTGCCACCAGATCACTTTGGGCCTATCAACCTTTCACAATATTAGCAAGAGCAAATGTGAACAATAAAAGTCTGCACACAGTCACCACAGACAGGTATATATATTCAGAGATTTGTCATATACAATAGCCCTCTTCAAGAGACATGGATTCTTTTAGCTTGCATTAAAAGCCATAGGGACAGTTTTAACACTTTTCAAAGAGTTTAATAATGAAAAGGTCAAAATGGTGCAAATAAAAGGGTGTTACAAAGAAATAAAGAAACCATAAACACAACAGTGAATTAAGGAATTTTAAGGTGTTAGCTCTCATAACTTGACAGATGTTCCTTGGTTGACGGTAACATGAGAGCTTGACAACAAGTCCTCAAATTCTTTTTCTGTGGTATCAAAAGGGGTGTTAACAGAAACCATTTGACCAATCATCTGGTTTAAGGGATGGGTGCTGGAAGGTCACGACGTTTATGACCAAGTCCCAAATTCAGTTTTATACTAAAAATAATTATAATTATTGTTAAAGCATCTTCCACTATCTACAGGTTGCATTCTGGAAACTGGTTGATTGTTTAGAATTATATAGAATTATATTTCGTGTTCAGAAATGCCAAACACAGTATTTCAGATG